ACTCCAATTGGAGGCTGGGTTCATATTTTAAAGACTGAAACAAAAATAAATTATATGCTATATTTTTTTTTTTTTTTCAATAAAAAAGAAAAAAAAAAAACTCATTTTGTGTTTAAATTTTACTGTGTTTGTTCTTTTATTTGCTTTCAAAAAAATAAAACTCACTCCATTCTTGCAATGTTTTAAATGAAATTATGATGCAAAAAAAAAAAAATCATTTATAGGCCCTTGTAATCTTATCTGCTTGCAAAATTATTACAATTTCTAAATAAGTCAAATTTAGAACTTAATTCCAACTAGATAATATACTCTAAAAACTGTAAACACTCCCCCCCCCAAAAAAAACATTGGGTTGGAAGTGTTTTTGTTAACGAATCAGCTGGTAAAATCTTTTGTACATTTTAAAATGGAATCGCCAATCCAATTAGCATCTGTGGTGTACAATGAATGTAAAAATTTCATAGCATCATTTCTTTACCGATTTCATTAAAGAGGAAGCCATTCTAAGTGGTGATAGAGAAGTTTTCCTAAAATGAATAAAATTTACCTTATAAAAAAAAAAGAATTAGATTGTGTTTGTAATAAAATGATTTAAAATATTTTTTTTAAAACACCAGAAAATATTTCGAAATATCACACTTATGCCCCGGTTTTGAAGGGACCTAACTTGATAGGAAGTAATTTAGTCTTTTTGAATTATCTCCCATGCACGAAGAGCGGCTTACTCATTTTTCAAATCGGTTAAATGTATTTTAAAGTTTAAGACGGTTTTAATACTTTGACTTTATCAAAAACTTAATCCCCCACCTTTTTGAATATCTGGTTTCTTTGACAGCAAAATAAGTGGCTAAATATTTTGCTAAGATTAATTTTTGTTTTTTCTGTATACATTGAAAAAGGCACAATTATCTCCCATTGTATTACATTGAATAAAAAAAATAGCAGCAACTTAAGTTTACCTAAAGTTTTTATTTATTAGGAGAATTGACTGGAAATGTAAAGTTGTTTTATTCTCATATGAAAGTTGAATAAAACTAGTAGTAAGATCTCAACAAAGATGTGTGAATAGAAAGATCATAAGATTTATCAGTTACTTTTATTTATATTGGCATGAAAGATATCTGGATAAGGGTTTGAGTCTTAGTTGCAGTTTATTTTTGTGTTTGTTTCAGGAAAAGAGGCTGACCACATATGATGGCAACCTGAAATCTTCATGTATAAATAGCATATGTGTCTAAGTCCCAGAACCTCTGTAGCATTGAGTAAAGTGTTTTTTTTTTTTTTTCTTTAAGAAAATGCAATCTACAAATTAAGTGGTTCTATATTTGCATGTTTTAGCTGAATATTTACAGTTCCGCATGCTGGTGAAACTCCTTATGAGAGTTCAAATCAACCAAGGTTTTTTTGTTTTTTTTTAAATTTTTGTCACCCCCTTTTTGTAGAATATCAGGCTGTACGAAATAATGCAGTTCCAGTAGCCAAAAACAGTCTTACATAGTTATGGCTAAATAGGACAGTTGGAAATATTTAACAATGGAGAAATAGTTCCATGCTTTTTGTAAGTACCTTAGTGCAGCAATATGTCTGCTGGATTTTGAACTGAATTTTTGGTGGTGTTAACCATTATGGCACCAGGAGAAATTTTTATGCACTAAAAGAAAGAAGTCCTGCAAGATCCCTGGGTTTGCATGAGTACATTGACTTTCTAAACATAGCTCTTTCTCCCCATCAAACAGGAAGTAAAATTATTTCTGCTAAAGCAACTAAATAATTGTATACATTCTACTTATTCCAGTCACATTACATTTTTTTTCTTTTAAGCATACAGCTGAAATAGTTTCAAGGATGATGTTCCTTATTATATAAATAATGAAAAAGGATGATGAGAGGAGAGAGAAATGTTAGGGGAGAAAGGAAGGAGTGTCAGACAAGTGGAAGTAAATGCAAAGGAGATGAAACTTCACTCTCTTCAGGATTTGATAGATGATGTGCAAAGGGGAGAGCAAAGCAACAATCTCATGAAAGAAAATATTGTTTTATCAAATAAATCAAGAAACATTTTATAGTGAATTCCTTCAGTGCAAAATTTTGTCAACAATATGACAAAAAAAAACAAAAAAAAACTGAATTATTTTTTATTCTGAAAGAATTTCACCCACCACAACAAAAAATAAAAACGAAACTTGATTTTCTGAAAAAATAAACATATTTCCAAACTACCACGAAATATAAAAACGAAACTTGATTTATCTTTAAAACAATCCTCCACCAGGCACCATAAAAAACGTGATTATCTCTAAAAAGCAAAAATTACCCCACTACCATAATGAAAAATCTATTTTGCCTTAAAAGTTTTTATGCTAGAATGGAGGCTGCTGGAAATTTAGTTACAAAAATGCTAAGTCAATTAAGTGGGACAAATGGGGGGGTTGCAGTAAATAATTTTAAAATTAGAGCTGACTTGTAGAGATAAATGGGTTTCCTGCTTCAAATGTCATGCAAACAATTATAAAAATGGAAATGTTATCAGTTATTTTTGTATATATATGCAATTATATAAAGATGCTTACTCTCCCATTTTACAATTTCATTTTTTTTTTCTAATCATTTCACCCCAAGCAAGTCAACAAAGCCACAGGAGGTTATTGAGTGTGAAAGAATATAAGAAAAAGAAAAACATTAGGGATTGTGAACAATAATAGAACAGGAATTAAAAAGACAAGATGATATTGAAAAAAAAAATAAAAATCCACAAATTTAATGTTTATTTTGGGTTGTATGATGAAATTTAGAAGAGTTCCTATATATTGATAAAAATGTTAAATCTTTAAATATTTTTGGGTAAAAAAATACACCCCCCTGCAAAAAAAAAACAATATATATATATATATATATATATATATATATGTAAAAATCACTGCACAGATGAAAAAAAAAAAAAGAGAAAAGAAAAGAATGGGAGAGAGTCTACTAACTGGAATTGTTGAAATTCACAGAAAGATGGATTGAAAAGTTGAGAAAATTAAAATGAAATGCATTGAAAAATCATGTTTTGAAATCATTCCAAGGAGAATTAAACCCAAATTTAACTATAGATGAAATTCAGTAAGATTGAGTAAAACCAAGACTATCTGTCCTTCCCCACTTCCCACTGATAAGAATGAGACCATTATCCATGTATATGTAAGATAAAATAAAAACATTGTCAATAAGGAGATGAGAGCAGCCACCAAAATAAACATTCAAGAAGAACCATCTGTTTTGAATCCCCCACTCAGAAGAGAAGTATTGCCACAAAGGGAGAGAGAGAGACCAACTAGATGCATTTGTCATTATAATTTCTATGACATTTGTCCAGAGAAAAATTTTTATATACAAACATCAATTCAGATTCCTTTGCATACTAGTGATAAGGAAAAATTAATTATTATTTTGAAGTGACCATAGACAAAAAGGCAGTGTGGTCTATTGATTGTAAAAAAAAATTCATAGACAAAGAAAAGATAAACTTTTGTTTTAAGGACTTTTCTTTCCTTTTTCAATTTTTGATTGGTCTGGTTGATCGAGAGATCAGCATGCGGTAGGCTGATAAAGAAGGATTCATGACTGAAAATTCCTTTTGTTTTCACTGTGCTATTTAGAAGTTGGATTCATTACACCAACCCTAGTAGCAGGCTGAGGTTAGCTGCTGAGAAAGTGGGAGAAGGAAGAGAGAGATTAGCATCACCAACATGGAGCTATGGTGCGAGGTGAGGTATGAAGTTGGACTTCAGGTGTGGCTTGATTCCTTCGGACACTCTCAAAACGGGGGCTGGATGACCCCAAATTTAGAAAACCACTTGAGTAAATGTATTTTTATATAACCAAGAATTATTAAAACTATTGAAAAAGGGAATTTTATTAATTTCAGTGTCACTGACACTGAAGCATTTTCAGAGAGAGAGAGAGAGAGAGAAAAATCTTGACTATATCAAGTCTTAGAAGTTTGTTAGAAATCTACTTTAAGACCAAAAATTAATTTTAAATTCACATTTAGTTATTATCACTTATTATTTTCCCTCTTTTCATAGGAACACAGTAACATGCCAAGATTCACTCCATCAAAATTCTAAGTTCTTTGTTAGCTGTAAGTTAGAACAAAAAAAAATTTACAAAAGACTTGCTTAATCAGATTTGAAAGGCAAAGAAATATAATAATATCCATAAGAAAAAGTTATATGTAATAAATACCCAAGACATTTTTGGTATAAATGACCCCCCACCTCTGTCACAAACACATTTTTTAATTTTGACCAAAAAATTTTTTATCTGTCATCAAGTATATTCTGTGGGATTGGGCAGAGGTACTGCAAAATTTCAAGAAGAAAAAAAAAGAATCCCAAAAAGAGTGATAGGAAAAAAAAAAAAGAATCAATACAGAAACTTGACTAATGCATATCAGCATGCAAGTAATACTAAATTATACCTGGTGAGGGTGAGCTTCTCAAACATCTTAGCTAAGCAAAGAAAACTGCAGTGTATTGAAATTTGTATTTACCTGACTTATGCATCTGGTCAACAAGTGGATACCTGCAGTCTCCATCAACTTACCCTCCAACAGTACGTCTGTATTTGGTGTATCTTGTATTGCTAAAATCAATTGGTTTGGTTGGTACACAAATGAACATTTTTTTTTTATTTCTTGATTAAAAAAATTCACTCTTCTCACAGAATCTATCTGACAAATGAGCAAAATAGTAAAATATACATTGATTCATTTGGATCACAAGAGACAAATGTAGGACTTCTATTAAAATCATCCAGTATTATTAGTGATTATATTTATCAGCAAACAAAAGCAACAGTCATGATATAGAAAAATAGAAAAGTTCAACAGAAGGTAGTAGGGAGTGAAAATTGAAGAGCCAACACTGAAAATGTAAGAGGATGTTGTTAGAGATCTTGAGACAAGAGCAGAGGTCTGATAATGAATATGGGCAACTATTTACCACCAGGTAGAATTAAAAAGGAAAGAAAAGAAAAAAGGAAAAAAAGAAAGAGAAGAGAAAGAGAAGAGAAAAGAAAGAGAAGAGAAAAGAAAGAGAAAGAGAAAAGAAAGAGAAAGAGAAAAGAAAGAGAAAGAGAAGAGAAAAGAAAGAGAGAAAAACTCTTGTGATTGAGTTGATGTATAATATTTTCCTCTGCTATTAAAAGAAAGCTGTGTAGAGTCATGATTACCTACAACTTGAAAATACATGGTACTTGGGAAGAGAGAGTGATTGAAGATGTAAACTGACAGGAGATGAGAGTTGCAACAGAAAAAAAAAAAATCAACTTTTGTTAATATTCAAATGAAGATCAGCCAATTTTGCAGTTTTAACTGGATGGTAAAACATTTTAAAATTGAAGCATGTTGAAAGATGATATAATGTGAGTATAGATTTAACCTTGGCATCAGTAGCCTGATTTTAATACATCCTGTTATAGATGAGAACAATGAAATCTGTAGGATTTTTAATTTCAGGGTTCAAAAAGAATTCCATATTTATTTTAAAATACATGACATATTTCTACAAATATATCATTGATAAATTTCATTAAATTGTGATCATATTTGATTTTATTTTTAAAATAATTCCTTAGCTTATAAAGTAAGTACCTCCTTTATGAAAGGCATCTTTAAATCGTCTCCTGAATTCTCTTTGTTGGTTAATATGTCCTGTCATGTAACTTTTAAAAGAAAAGTGATTGGCAAAAAGGATTTCTTTGTATTTGTCTATTTATTAAAGGCTTGAAACCAGAATGTATTTGGGGCTGAAAACTTTTCACTGACCAGTAAAGAGTAAAAAAAATAAATGAGACTAGATCTTCAGCAGAAAACTGACTCATTTCAATTCGTTTGTTTATGGCTAATATTTTAGGCTATTTATAATCATGACCTTCAGTTTGCTTATGTTTTTTTTTTCTTAATTTATTTCATTTGTTTTGTATATTTTTCTTGGATTCTAAATTCTTATATTTGAAATAAAGTTTATTAGATTTAATTTATAGTCATTTAGTCGTTTTGGTCATGATGTTGTAGGTAGTGTAGTAGGAATTTGTTTTTGTGTCTACATTTGGAAATGAGTTCTGATCTTTTGTTTATGAATTTATATTGTTCAATATTAGAGACAGAGGAAACATCTCTGCATGGAGACTGTCAGTTTTACACATCAATTTCTTAGATCACATTGGTGCATGAAATTTGTGACCACCATGTAGTGTTGATTCCTATATCCATACTGCTTCTTTGTCTTTGTAAATGTAATCAATACCATGTTGGATATAGAATGAAAAGGGTAGACACACAAATTAAATTGGATACCTTTTTATTTTTTTTTTTATAATTATTTTACTTTATGGAGATTAATAAAAAAAGAAACATTAAGGCACATACAAAAACTAATTGTTTTAAAGAGAACATTTCTAAAAAGGCATAGAAATGCTTATCAAGTTTTCTTTGATATTTTAGATAAGCCTTTCCTAAATTTGGCAAGGTTAAATTTTTCAAGGTTACTGAAAAGAAAAAAATTATTTTAGTAAAGAAAATTAGCTTAATTACAAATTATTTCTGATGGCAGAAAATGCAGGTCATGTGACTGACTCACTTAAAAATGAACTTTTTTTGTAAAATATACTTGCAATGTAAGAATTTTGTATAAAATGAAACCACAATACATGTGGGTCAATGCATGAATATTATCTTATTGTCATTGAAATTTTCCAATATTCCTAAACTATTGTATTCTTGAACACAAAAGCACAAATCAATGATAAATTACAAAAGTAATTATTATTTATACTATCCTAGCATTTAAGATGGTTCCAATATTTCTTTAACTTGGTCAGCACAATTTTTATCTGAGGAATGTCCTGTTATTATTTTAAGTTATTCAAAATCATTGCTTTATGATTTTATATAAATTGTTAAACATCAGTTTTGGTGGTGTCATTTGCTGTAATGACCTGTTGATTTCTCATGGTCATAAATGTGTGTTTGTGTGTGTGTATATATATATATCTTATGGTGCATTATATGTGTACAAGGCTGTTGTAAAAATGCCTGGTTCACTTATATATAGTCTCAACAGAAGTCAGAACAGAACAGTGTCTTAATTCCATTTCCATATTTTGATTGAAGTGGTCAAACTCAGAAATACTTAATGTCTAATGAAGACTGTTTATGACTAAAAAAAGCCTTGAAGAAAAATTACTTGAATAGTGAACCTGATGATCAAGAGAAAGTTAAGATGGAACAGGAAAATAAAAACAAACTAACAGGCCTGCTGTACAAATAAAAGAAGAGATAGTTTATATCTTGTAGATTAAGATGATTTTATTCCCACTTCTGTTGTTGATGTTATCTTGATTAATTGCAAAGAGATAAAAACACTCAGAACTGTTTGTAACCAAACAGGCGAAAACCTTAAATTTTAATGGCAAATGGATTAGGAAAGATAGCAAAAGACAAACTTTACTAAGAGCTACAAAGGTCCGGAAAATGTGAAGGTCACCCACTTTCTGAAGGGACATGGCACATAGAAGTTTCCTTTATAATATGAACAAAGTTACTTTGCAATAGGATAACATTTGAACACTAACCCACAAAGGTGAAATACATGAGTTTGAAAAGAAAATATTTCAGGTGAAAATTGTAAAAAAATACTGTAAATAAATACAAGGCAAAATGTATTAAGTAGTTAAGAGAATGAATAAAAGTAAAAAATGTTAGCCAATAAGTTGTGGTTATCTTTCAGTTTTTATCATATTGCGAAAGACTAATTTTTAATTGTATTTTTCTGTGTTATTTCAGCATTGATAATAAGAACAAATTATGTCACTTTAAATGTGCTCTCAGGTCGAACAAGAAGAATTCTTAGATTTCACACAATTTAAAGACATGGAAACAGAAATCAAAAACTGGAATAATCAAAAATGAATATTAAATAAAATTTAATATCAGTAATTTTTAAAATATTAAAAATTTCTACCACTGGCATTTCTTTTAACAATGACATTCAAATCTATTTTATAATCTTTTAAATAATTTTCTCATTTGAGACTTGCATACAAATTGCTTACTCACATTTTCCGGATTTTTTTTTTTTTTTAACCAACTTTCATTAAAATTTGATAAGGAAAAAAAACATGAAAAAAATACTTATGATTTATGACCAATTTGATTTTGAGGTAACTTTAAATCAGTTACAAACTGATATGCACAATTTAAATTTCTAAATAATGAGGAAAGTGGGCTTGGAGAATTTGATACTCACAGGACATATTGAAGGTAAAAGTAACAGAGTAAAGCAGTGAATAACCTACCTAATCAACCTGCGTAAATGGTTGGCAGAACAGAGTATCAGCGATAGCAAAAAGATAAATCTTACTAAAAGCTACAAAGGATAGGAAGTTGTGGAGAACCATAATTGCCCAAGCCTGAAGGGACATAGTACATAAAAGCAGAAGGAAGATTTCAGAAGACAGCAAGAATAGTGTAGAGTCTGTTTTATCTCAAGTATATTTGATGGCATATAAGACCATATGCACCAGATCCGATGTGATAGCAATATTTAATGCATAGATAAATAGTAGACTTATAAATGTGCAAGATAGATTCTAGTGAGAAAAATTGTCTGGTGTAATACAGTGAACTAATTTTCTTAACAGCAGACCAAGCAATTGATTCAATATAGTCTTTCATGTCACAAGAGAACATTAGCTCAAGAAGGTACAATGAATCACTCTCCTGGAGGTTAGCATTAGCCATGCTGATGGAAAAAAAAAAAAAAAAAGGTTTCTAAATACCAATACATGATGGTAGGCACCATAAATTCATTCAAAATGTGCTTGTGTAGTATTCTATGTACAAGTAATGTACCATATTTGAGAGCAGGTAAGACATCTGTCCCATTTGCATTTAATATTGCAATTTTTGGTGCTACTTAAGTAGACCGTTCCATTCGTAAAGAATAGGAAAAAAGTTTGGAAATAATTTTGGTAGATTAGCATTTATGAGATATTTCTCAAGGTGAAACATTTTTTCAGAATGAAAAATTATTGATTATTTTTCATTTTAAAAGTGGGGTCCCGTTCATAATATTGATAGTGTAAAATTGATCTGTCTTTTTTATATAATTATCTGGACTTAGTCTTTTGATACACAGACCAAATTTCTGTTACAAAAAGATTTCTTTTAAATGAAGAACAAATGGATATATACATTTTTGTTAAAGAACAAAAATTTACATGAATTAATAAAAGTAAATTCCAATTCTTATTTTTTTTATTTAAGATAAATAATTATTATTCCCTAAAGTTTGTGCATGAGTTTCAGAAAAAAAAAAAAATCTCTTCCAAAAAAGTTTAAAAAAATTTTTTTAAATGTAAAAAATATTTTAAAAATTCAGAAAATTAAAAAAAAATAAGATATCTATGATGCAAGCACAGCTTCAAATTTGTAAATAATCGTGAAGTCCAATAACTCTGTAAAATCAGAGAGTGATTTTATACTGTATAGATATTATGAACAGGATCCCTCATAAAAAATCAGTATTTTTCAAGTCTGTCAAATGTGACTTGAGGAAGATCTGATGATTGCTAATCTACAAAAATTTTTCCCTATAGTTTTACAAGTGGAGTCCTCAGTTTGTAAAACATTCTACACCAATCTGTTTAAGTTGATGGTGTTAAAGAAAAAGTGCCATTTATTCTGATCAGGAAAGTGGAAAGAAAGAATCCTGAAACAGATGAACAAGGTATTGGGCAAGGATGGTGCAACAAATGAGATATTGCAGACTAGCTGAGAGCAACTGTGGAAATTAATCACTATGTTTCAACCATTATGGAAAGAGGTGAACACAATCCTTCTATACTAAAAAAGTGATAGAGAAGATCTCAAGAATTATTGCCCAATATGCCTTCTGTCTCAAATATGTAAGATGTCCACAAAGATAATTGTTTAAGTATTGTCATAAAAACTGAACCCAGATAGCACAGCATAATGAATCACATATTCTCTCTGATCCATTTTCCAATTTGTGCAAGTGAACTAGAGAGAATCAATTGCTTCTAAGCTTTGCATTTGTCAATTATAAGAAGGCCTTCAATAGTTTTGAAATCAGTACAATGCTGCAATCTCTAGAGAAGCAGTGTTGCATTGAGGCAAAAGATGGGTACACCAACATGGCCTTGTTGTCATTAACCATGTGTGTCCTGATTAATGAGGAGAAAACATCTCTCCAAACCTCTTTATGGCATGTCTCAAGATGGTTATAAGAGACACTGACTGGGATTGTAGTATATGATCAATATCAGTCTAATTTCCTACCTTGGATTTGTAGACAAACTCATCACAGAAAGCACTGGACAGCTACAGAGCATGCAAAGTGAGCTGGATATCAAGAGGTTCAGCAACTGGTCTGAAGATCAAACAATGTACATGCAATCAGGTGTGGCTTTCAGTTGTATAATGGTCAGAGCTGAGGAAGTAGACAGTTATGTGTATCTTGGATAAATGAATATGAAATGCAGTATGAAGAAAAGCAGGATGGAGAGCATTGTTGAGGAAGCTTTTGAAGTTATATCTTGACAGGATGACTTGTGCTAGCCTCTTCAACAGTATAGTTTTGCCTGTGATGTTATACACAAACAAAACATGGCCTACAATGTAGAGGGAAGAACAGTGACTAAGCACAGTACAGAGGGTCATGGAATGGTTGAGGCCAGGAATCTATCAATGATAGAATTACATTCAGAACAAGGATTCCAAACAAGGAAATAGAATGAAGAATATCACTGCATATCACAAACTCAGATGGGCTAGACATGTTGCACAGTTCACCAACAATTGGTGGACCAAATACCATTGCAAAGTGGTAAAAACCACTAGGAAAGCTTCCATTAACATGGGAAGATGGGATCAGGAATTGGACGGGACTTGCATCTGGAAGAACAGCTATAAAACAATCAAAATAGACACAATTAGACAAATTGTAAAGCTGAATAGTCAGGTTAGTTTTATGGAGTTATTCTAGGTCAAAACACATTCAGCTGGGTTGGACATGTACAGTTCACCAATGATAAATGGACCAATGCAGTTGTCAAGTGGCACCTGTGTGAACAGAAAAGACCACTGGGAAAGCATCCATTAAAATGGAAGATGAGATCAGGAAACAGGTAAGGGTTACATGGAGAAAAATTGTAAGACTGTTTGGTTCATCTTGGAAACAATGAGATTGAAAATGGTTATGCTAGGTAGAGGTACTGGTAACATTTAACATTTGTGTATTATCCTACTAAAATACCTCAAACTTATAAGACTTGAGTGATATTGAATCACATTTTGGGAAAAAAAGACAACTTCACTAAGGTTCTGTCTTTTCCAATAAATGGTTCTTAGATTCAAGGATAATAGAAGATGATTATGATTTTAAATTTTAGTTCAATGATTTAAGTAATTGCGAAATCAGTAAGAGCAACTATATTTGTTTCAATGAAATTTGCTATCACTGAATTAATAATTAAAACACATCATTTAAATATCTATTCAACAGTAAATACAATACAAAAAAATAGAAAAGAATTGTTGAAAATCTATTTAAATATTTACTTATATATATTTAATAAAAACCGCTGAGTAGTTTCATTGGTGAGGAGTCCAACTAAGGGTTAGTTATTGTTTTGTGAAATTATCAAATGTCTAAGATTTTGCAAAACTAACAAGAATTGTTAATATTCAATGTGTTTTATATATTTTAAAAGAATGTTTTGTTTCATCAATTCTTTGAGTATGTTTGAATTATTTTTTCTCTTTGGTGTAGAGAATATTCTTTCTTATTGCTTTTGTACAAATGGATTAGGCAAGTTTATTGAAAACCACAAGTCAATCACGAAAGATAGGGGAATTGCCTCATCAAAGGGAAAATTAAGAAAAGAAAACAAAAAAGAAAAGGCACCATGACATTATGACATGGCCCATAGACCAGACTATAACCAAGACAAGGCCAACAACAATACAATGCCAGATAAAGTTCCCTGAATACAGAAAGAAACAAAAGCCAAAAACATTTTTTTAATGCAATACTCCTGAAAAAAAATTAAATAATAAAAAAAAAAAACCTGTTGTGAGTCATTGAGCAAACCGAGAACTTGTTACCCTTTTGACTAAAATCTACTCAAAAATGTTATTGCATTGTTATTGTTTTATAAAATCTTTCTTCTGACTCCTTGAAAAATTCCACCATCCTATTCTGTTATGCAAAAGTGTATCATTGATCTTATGAGGGGAAACAATTTTAGTACATAAATATATATATATATATATATTTATATATATATAATATAATATATAAATTTAAATGCTTAAATTTATTGACAAAGTTTAAAAAAAAAAAAGAAAAAAAAGAAAAAAAAGGAAGAAAGGCATTAATTTTTAGTGGATTTTTGGTGTTAGAAAAACATTTTCCAACTATTGTTCTTATGATAAAAAGAAAATGGTAATTTGAAACTGTTTTCTAATACAAAATTTTCAGTCTGTTTTTGTTGCATAAATAATATTTTATTTTGAAAAAAAAAAAAAACCTAAAAGATTTTTTCTTTACTTGCAATCAGAAAAGATACCAAAAATCTCATGTCATACACTTATTATAAACATGTTCATTTTATGGGTAATAAGCTTGCAAATGTTCAATAGTAATGCTATTTATAAAATGGAATTTGTAATTACCTGCCTGACCAGAATTTATTGCTTAAGGAATCAGTTGCAGCAAAAAGTATATATATTATTTTTTGGTAAGGGCAATATGACAAAACTGAAAAATGTCAGCAATATAATGATTAGGGTGTGACTCAGAAGGAAAAATAACAACAAACAAATGTCATTTTCAGGGACATTTAATAACATTACATGATGACCCAGAATTTTTTCATTTTTTTTTTTTTTAAATTATTTTTAGTACTTTTTCCTTTCTTTTAAAAAGTTAAAAGTGGGTTAGTTTTCAGGAGAAAAGAAGAAGGAGAGAGAGAAAAAAAAAGGAAAAATAACACAACAACAACAAAATAAACACAACAAACAATTAAGAACAAAGCAAAAATGGAATCTAATTTTGTTTTTGTTGCCATTTTTTTTTTGTTTTCATCTCCAAACCATCCTTGCCTGAATGCTTCATTATTTGCCTTCAGGATTTCAGTCTTGTCTTCAAGTGTCATTGGAACCACCCAGCACCTGCAAACGGAGGAGGAGGAGGTAGGATAGTGGGTGGTGTAAGAAGAAACTTGAGCAAAAAAAAAAAAAAAAAAAAAAAAAAAAAAAAAAAGCAGGGGAGATTTTTTTAGGAAAAAAGAAAAAAAAAAAAATGAAAGCCAAATCCTGGAAGGGTTTTTTTTTTTTTTTGATTGACCCCAGTAAACTGAGGTAAACTATTTCCAAGATAATTTTTCTTCTCAAAAAAGGAAAAAATAACAAAAAAGTTATAACTCTAAATATAAACATTTCATTTCTGTTCAGATGTTCTTAAATTTAATCTCTTGTTTTAAAACACTTTTTTATCTTTGATTTTCTTTAAACAAAAAAAAAAAAAACAAAAACAAATAAAAACCTTTCGGTCTGCCTGCATTCTGGTTGTACATCCTCTAATGTTTTATCTACAGACATTGGACATTTCTCCTCTATCATTCCCCCCCACCTGCAACACTTATGTCCTATTTGAATCTTTTACCTCAAGCTATCTCTGGGGTTATTTGATGAGGACCCTTCTGAGAAAACATTATCACTATCATTAACATCAGTGTCCTGATCAGTGTCATCAGCATATCTATTGTCATCCAAATAGTCTACAGCTGCCAGGTTGACGATATCATAATCATTGTCCTCGTCATGGGGGTGGACATTGAAATCCTCTATAGCCGGAATGTGATCAACAAGCAATGTGTACTGCTCATCATAATCCTCACAATTGTCATCAAAAAAGTTTTCATTGTCTGAATGTTCCCGATCCGACTCCTCCAGATCCGACGGATACTCTGGCTGGGGCACAAGTCGATTGACAAATCCATTATTGACGGGACTTTCAAAGTCTTCTTCATCATTGTCATCATCATCATCTGAATTGCTTTCAAAGTTTCCAGCCTGATTCTCCTGATTGAGACCTTCTACACTTTCCACCATACTGACACGATTATTGTCCAATACATTCCCATTGTACGTACTACCACCACGATGTTCCGTCAAGTGAGTAATTGCATCATCATAGTAATGCTCAAAATCTGGATTTTCAGCTTCATCATCATCATCGTCATCATCGTCCAGAATGTCTCCATCATCATTGTCCAGTCGTTCATAGTCCCATTCATCCAACTCCTGAGCTATCCGCCGGTATCGTGTCTCTTGCAGCACGCCCTTGGCCCGACGCGTTTTGGGGTGGTCTGGGCCGAGGATTTCCTCGCTGACACGTGCCCACTTTTTGAAATATTCGTAGGCTTTCCGGTATTCTTTGTTGTCCTCATAGACAATTCCAATATTGATGTAAAGTCGTGAAGTCAAAATGTGGTATTCTCCATACATCTGCATACACAAATCCATGGCTTGGTTGTACAACTGAAAAAGACAACAAACCAATTATATTCATAAGCTGTGAATCAGAAGTTAAACTGATAAATTCTAAGCACTTTAAATACTTCAGTGTATGGATCAGTTATAACAAATTTAGTATAGAAAATAAGGAATAAGTTGCAGTAGGAGTACTTTTGGTCAGGACCATAAAATGCTTATTCTTCTTCTATGTGCTATGTTCATTCAGGACATAGGTGATCAAGGCTCTCCACAACTTCTTGTCCTTTGTAGCTCTTAGTAAATTTTTTTTTTTTGTTATTTCACCTAATCCATGTTCACTTTCCAAATGTACCACATGCACAGATTGCCTCCTCAGGTTGATAACATGATGAATTTTTTCAAATTGAATAAATTCATCATAATGAGATTTGAACCAAGGTCTCATGGTCAGAAAGTGTATGTTCTAACCACTTGGCCATGCACCAATCCAGGATGTGTGTGTATTTAAGAATTTGCTATGTTTATGGGGGATGATTTCTCAATTTGGAGGTAGAGCTTTTGTAAATGAAGACTGTGTCTGATGATTGCTTGATGTGTAAAACAGACAGTCATGATGCAGTGTTGATTTTAACCTCTACACTGTTTTGCTCTCTCTCATTTCATTACATATGATGGACAGATATATATATAGTTTATGTGTGTAGAGTAAAAGTTTGTCACTTAGTTGACTGATGTTACCATGCACGCACACACAGGTTGTCCCATAATGATGGGAAACATTTTAAATGTAAGTATTAATTTTCTAAGCGTTGCTTAGATGTGGCACAAGACCGAAAGTATAGGGCACCCAATGAGGATCAAACTCACTATTCAGTCGTAACTGTTTTAGTGAGACAAGCCATTACACTACGCCAAGGTGCCCAAACATTTTAAATGCCAGTATCTTGGATTATAAAAATGACATAGTAACTGATATACAAAAGTTCAACATGTTATCTAAGACTTTGCTATTTCCTACAGGTATCTGAAATCTCTTTTGCTGATGGTGAACCCTCATAATGTTGTGGACTCCAAAAGAAATTGCATATGTCCATGTTCTCTTCATGGTGGTGACCATCTCAGGGATGTAATATTCAAAATAGTAGAGAAGTAGAAGGTTTCAGTGAGTAACCTAGCTGACAAGTGCAGGATATATTGAAGGTAACAGAAATGTTGAGAAACATTAAATTACCTAACCAGTTTCTGTAAATGGCTAACAGAATGAATGAAATAAGGATAAAATAAGAGTCTAATGTTGCTTAGAGCAACAAAAGACAGGAAGTTGTGGAGAACTATGATCTCCTACACCCTGAAGAGACACAGAACATAAAATTTTTGCTATGATAGAGAAAAAAAGTTGTGGTGGCCAGAATATTTCTTCCAAATTATGGCTTTCTTCAAAGTGTCATGTGACACGATGGTTAACAAGCTAGATTTGGTAAACAGTTTAAATTCTTGCTAAGATTGCTTACTCCACTTTTGAACTTATGTCCTTGGAAAAGGCATGAACTCACCTCTCCCAGTGATCTCTCCAACTGAAAGTTATCATTATTAGAGTCTTGTTACTGGCATATCATAAGAGTAGATACTAGTCTAGTTGGGGATTTTTTCCCCCCACTGTTGTTATGATGAATCACCTACATCATGCTTCATGAAACTTAGATGACGAGCAACATCAAGTAACTCTCCTAACCCCCATCTAAAATGTCATACATATATGACAAAAGGACAACAAGATATTGATGTCCTTTGAGAAGACATGCAACACTGTATGTCTTAAGAACATTAACCATAGAACTTCCCAAGTAATTCCTAATGACTTCATTTTTCATTGGACACTCCAAAATATGTAGCCTTGTGCTGAATTTGGGCTATGAGCAACAGATTGTATGTTTTTTTTTTTTTTTTTTTGAGTTGCATCATAAAAATAACAAAGGTGTGGATAGTTGGCCAAATACTGAAATACTCTTTCCCAGAATTTCAGACATATTGATAAGTTAAATAACTGAAATTGGCAAAGTTAAAAAACATGACTATTTCTCTGTGAATTCATGGAATGAAGAATTATCATTATTTACATTTGGATTAATGCCTTCAATTTTGCAAAGATGAAGATATTTGTTTGAATGTAATTAAATAAATACTAATAACAAATATGATAGTAGAAAAAAAAATAGTAAAATTGAGTCGAGAAGTTCAGTAAATGTGTTGGGTGGGGTTGGTTGATTTTACAGCATGTTGACCCCTGTTAGGTTATTTAATGTTAAAATTTTTTTTTTTCCATTATCATATTTAAGTCTATAAGCATTTATTTGGTTTAGGGATAGGTAAATATTGGTTGTTTACATTTGAGTCTCCTAGCCAAATACTTTTCTCTGTTTGTAAGATGTCATAGTCCTTGTACATCTCTAAAACCTCTGTATAAACAACATTTTCATCAAGACATCTATTTTCTAGAGATATTTTTTTGTCATTATGCTAAGTTTATTTGAATTTCGTCTTCTAGACATAGTGCAGAACATGAGTGAAACATTTGAATAATTTGGTAATGTTTGTATTTATAATGATAATTCATTTAGAAAATTTACTAGTTTTTCACTTGATTAAATAACTTAGTACAGTTTTAATAAAATCGAATTTAAAATTTCATTTTTCAGATTATTTTGACTTATTTAGATAATTCCATAATTTATTTTTCAACTCAATTTGACTAATTTTTAGCCTTACACAAATATATAAAAGATAAGCATTTACTTTTAGTTTGGGGATAGGTAAGTATTGGTTGTTTATAGAATCTATAAGTATTTACTTGGTAGGTGGACCATTTGGGGGGGGTGGAGGTGGTGGCTCTTAGTGCATTCTAAGTCCTGATGACAGGGCAGTTCAGCAGGTGAGTGAGCAAAATTCAAAACCAATTTAAAACAGAATAATACAATAGTAGGTATGCTGGCATTATTGCTTTTCTATTGGTCAATGGAAAACTTACCTTCAATTGTTCCATGCTGCCTCTGGGAGCGAGCACACCTTTAGTCATCAGTGCTTCAGCATAATGTCCAATGTCATTCAACTGAATAAAAAAACAAGAAACATGTAAGACAAGCAAGCTACACAATCACAAATATTTTGTTTTAAAGAGTAATTTTGGAAAATATCAAAAGTGACTATTAATTTCAGTTAGATCAAAATTCTAATGCCTTAAATTAAAAATGACCCTTTAACCATCTAGTTTACATTTTTTCTTTAAAACTGTTAAATATTCAGATTTACACAGGTGGTGAAAATGAGAAAAATGTAATTGGCGAACACAGTTTAAAATTGTTGTCATTTTTGCAATGATAACAAAAGCATGCAAGAATCTTATCTTTTTTCTTTCTTAGTCATTACTTGGTCAGTCTTGGTATTGGATTCCATAATGACTCAATAAATTAACAAAGCAGTATATAGCTTTTTTGATATATTGTTAGTGATGATTGATTTATGTAAATAAAAATGCAGTTGATATTAAATAATCATGCATTTTACTAAATTAAGAATTATTTGATATTTGTGTTTGTTTAAACTCAGTCATTCAGTCAAGAGCCATATGTGATACAGAAGATTCTTCCCGCAGTAGGTTGCCATTTCTTTTTGTAGTAGAGTGGTTGCCAATCAAAACTATAGAGTGCAGTCTGTCCTGCTATCCAACCAACAGCTGGGGAAGAAAAGATGGATTTGTACCTTTCACAAGGATATCTGTATGTAAGTAAATATAACAAATTTAACTGGAATTTGAAATTTGTTTTTCAATTTCTCATTCCAAGCTGATATTCATTACACCACAATGTACATTTAAACTACAAAAGTTATAAGTTTGGAATTTTCTTAATTTGTAACAAGAAAGGTAAAGAAAGTTGTTTCAAATATTAAAGATTTAATTACAAATTCAAGTCCTATATTCAAACTTCCTTTTAATCTGATCAACATTAAATCAAAATGATTAATTCCAATTTACAATGGGTTTATGCTTCTATCCATCCATCCATTCCATAAGCGCAACTCCTGACCAACATTAGATCAAAACTAATTTACTGAGTTTTTATAAGAAATCTAACCCCATGGCTTCTGCACATCTGATAATTCAACAAAAATGCTCATCCAACCAGTATTTGTGAAAACATATAGAATGCTTTATAGGACTAGAACCTGTATTTTTGTACACTCTGCTCATAGGTGACCTGGAAGTATACAAAGCAAAGAATTTCAACATTTATCCACTCATCCTTTTGTTATCTCCTTCAAACCTGTTAGAGAAATATTTGCTTTCTTGCACCCTCATCCTTAACAAGTAGCCAAAAAACCATCAGGTGTTGTGTCCTTTGCAAACTTCTCATCATCTTACCTCTTGGAAAATCTTCAATGCCATATCAATGCAACGGTTCCCTTCAGCTAATGCTTCATTGCCTGACATTTCAGAGCTGCCCCCACAGGCTTCCCAGCTTTCCATGTTGAAAGCCAATTTCATCAAACTCATTCCGAGTTTAAACTGAAAAGTAAGAAATAATCATTCAGTTCAAAATTATACAGAATCCAGCACTCCATTTCCACATTTGAGAATATAAATCATAATTTTTTAATTCTAGCTTCTGGTGGCAGGGTATTATAGAATAAAATTGTAGATGTATTTTCATGGCTTTTTGCCACAAGTGTGCATCCTTGAATATCTGGAATTAAATTTATTCAAGTTTGGAATTAGTTTTTAAGTCAAACTCATTAAAAAGTGAACTGTATGAGTGAAAACTCATATATGACATAAAAGAACTTCTAGTTATGAACTAAAGAATTTAAAAAAAAATTACACAATAATCAAATTAAAAAAAGAACAGCTTTTAATAACAGCATTTTCCATATTTCCAAATGTTTTCATTATTTACATCTTTGTTGTTGCTATCACAACATTTTGGCTGGTATTCTGTCATGTCTATTGATCCAAGTAACCTTCACAAAATTTCAAACTGGACCTTTTATTCAATCTACAGGAGTAGATTGTTCAAGATGGCGATCATTTTGTGACTTAACTAAACCAAACAAACATTTACTTTAACAAATTCTAACATTAGTTTAAGAGGTTTGGTTTGTTGGGTTTTACAGCATGTCGACCTCTGATGGGTCATTTTATGCTGGATCCATTTCTTTTTTTTTTTTATTATTTAATTCTAATCAAAATTGAGTTGTATTTCAAAGTAGTGTTGTATTTAAATAGTTTGTACAGATAATGTGATTTTCATTTTTTTTTAATGTTATAATTTATTGTATAGTCCTACCACTTTCAGATCAACCTTAACTCATCAGTCCCCTCCTTAGATTTCTTGATTCACGGTTACCTCCCTCTGTTTAGAAAGGACTCTAAAATCCACATGCATGGCCTGGGAGTTTACACTAGTGACCATCTCCCACTGGTTAGGGAACTCTCTCTTGAATCTCCTGGCCATCCATACATGTATCTCCGTCTACCTCACAATTCTGTTAGCCATCTCTTCTTTCTCTACCGTTCCCCTTCCTCTCAAGACTGTGGTATACTTGACAGCATTTCTGATAATATAGACAAGGCCATCTGTAGAGAGATGGCCTTGTCTATATCATCAGAAATGACTTTCTTACACATTTCCCCAGTAACCCTGACAGTAAGGATTCCCTTCACAATCTCTGTTTTACTTCCATCCCTGACTCCTGTTGTGTCAGGCATCTCTGCCCTCTTGGCAACTCTGATCACATCATAGCGTCTGTTAACATCTCCTTCTACTCTTCACCCAACAAAGAACCTCCTCTACTAACAGGATATCTTTCTGTTATCCCTGTGCAGATTGGGACATTTTGTGATTTCCTTTGCAATGTCTCCTGGAATGTGGTTTTTAATCGCCCTGTTCAAAAATGCATGTCTGAGGTCTCCTCCTGGGTAAAAGCTGGAATTGAGGCTTTCATCCCTGCAAGAAAATACAAAGTTAAATTGCACTCATCTCCTTGGTTCACAGTCACTTCCTCAGCTGCTATTGCTCATAAGAATCACTTCTTCCATTTGTACCGAAGTGACATGCCCGATCGCAACAGATGTCTCTTTGTCTCTGCCCATAATGAGTGCAAGCACGTCTTCAATGAATCAAAGCTACTATTTGCTGGAAAGATGAAACAACGTATTGAATCACACGAGTTTGGTTCTAGAGATTATTGGTGGCTTTGCAAGAGTGTGCTGAACAATGTAAATCCTCAATACCTCCTCTATTCAATCAATTTGAGGAACTGACTTCCTCAGCTGATAAGGCTGAATGCTTTGCTCAGAAATTTTCATCAAATTGAATGCTCGACTCATCTGGTGTACCCACATCTGATTTTTCCCCCTAGAACTGAGGCTCTGTTCAGTGGCATAAACATAACCCCATCAATGGTCTTGGACATTGTCTCCAAATTAGACTCCCATATGGCTAATGGCGGAGACAAGATACCAGCCGTTGTCCTGAAGAAATGTGCTCCTGAACTGGCACCAATTCTCTTCAAACTTTACAACTATTGCCTCACTGACTCTTGCTTTCTAGCCCGTTGGAAGTCCTCATCTGTTGTCCGTCTTTAAGAACTCTGGTGACCCTTCTGACCCATCTAACTACCGTTCTATAAGACTTTTACCACTCTTTGGCAAAGTCTTCAAGGCTTTAATCAACACCGAAGTGGTTAAGTACTTTATATCTCATATATCTGCTTTCAGACAAGCAATATGGTTTCTGCTTTGCCTGGTTCACCACTGATGTGCTCACAACCATAACGGAATTTATATACCAAGCACTTGACAATAATGGAGAAGCTTGAGCTGTAACTTTAGACATCTCTAATGCATTTGACGGGTCTGGCATGCTGACCTTCTTCGTAAGCTTCAGGGATATGACATTACAGGATGATTATTTCACTTATTAAAATCATTCCTGTCAAACCATGAAATGAAGGTTGTCCTAAACAGGTTCTCCTTCAGTTGCTTTCACATGAATGCTGGTATTTCCCAAGGCTCTATCCTGGGTCCTACACTGTTTCTGATCTTCATCAGTAATCTTCCTGATGTTATCAACACCCAAGCTGACATCTACACTGATGACACTACTAATGACTCCTGCCTTAATAATAGACCTGGCATCATTGACAAAATTAATCTGGGCTTAGGCCTTGAGAACAATCTGTTTTTGACTGGGGCAGGAAATGGCTTGTAAACTTTAATGCCTCTAAAACGAAACTGCTCTCATTTACCCACCACAGAGAGCCCTCCCTGCCTCCCCTGCCTGATGAGCATCTCTCACCACCTGCTTGGTCTTGCACTGTCCAGTGACCTGAAGTGGAACAATAGCTTTATCTACTACAAGGAAAGTTGGTTCTCTGTTTCGTGCCAGAAGTTTTTTCTCGCCCTTGTATGGAATACTGCTGCCATATATGGTCTGGTGCTCCTGCTGTTCGCCTTAAGGTCCTCGACAAGATCCAGAGACGGATATGCAAAGTGGTTGGTCCTGATCTGGCATCCTGTCTGCAAGAAAGTCCATGATGTTTCTGATTTTTACTTTTTAAAACAGTTTCATTAGGTTCCTTGTCTTGAAGTATTTTTCCTGATATAAGTTATGCTTCTACATACTGTCAGGATAGGTCAACATGTACAATTTGGTTGTTCTTGTTTAAGTATGTAGGCATGTGTCCTATGTGCATTTGACTCAGGACGACCTCCTCTCTTCAGTTTATTTTATTATTTATTGTCCATTTTTCCAAAATGAGTTTTATTTTAAATAGTTTTTTTTTTTCTTTATGTATTTCCCATAATTGCTGCCATTTTATTTTTATGTATTTGTTTATTTTGGGTTTCATATCTGTGTAGGGTACTTTGAATTTCTTATTGTTGGTAATTTCTAAGGATTACTTAGCTGCTGAGTCAGCATTGTGCCTCTAATTAATATTATGTGTTTTGTTTTTTCCAAGGTGTTGATCTTATTTAGCAGTTTTATAACCAATGGATTTTCTAGTTTTTTTCTCTTTAAAGGAGACTAAGACTGATAAGTATATGATAAATTTTTGGTGGTCATTCTTGGATATGATAGCTAGTGCCATGTCTATGGCACCAGCCTCTGTACTGAAAATAGATACCTTGTTTGGTAATCATTTTTTGATATCAGTTTTGTCAAGTACTGCTGCACTACCTGTTCTTTCTGTATTTTTAGAGCTGTCAGTAAAAGTCCTTAGGTGATTTGGTTTTTAGTTTTTTTCTAATCCTGGAGAACTTCTCGAGATAGATAATGAGATGAGTTTTTGCTTTGGGAAGTTCATTTAGTTCTCTTATTATATTTGGTTTTGTAGTAGTCCATGGAGGAATCTCTGTTTTGTTTTGTGCATTTTTTCCAAGGGGATCTTTGATTCTTCAATGATTTGATTCATTTGAAGTACAAAGGATTTTATTTTATTTTCATTCTAGTTAAATAGTAGTTTGGATTTTGAATCCATTGTACAGTCATATGCAGGGTTGAGATGACAAGATCCCAGTTTGAGATAATATTGAGTGACTAGCTTGTCTCTCCTCAGTTTCAGTGGTGCTTAGCGTACATATGCAGAATCTCCACTGGAGAAGTAATGAAGACCCCAAGTGCAAGTCCCTCATGGTGTATTGTATCCAGTGTCCTCAAATAAAATTGCCTGGCTGATCTGTAGACCATGCAGCCATAATCCAACTTGGGAAATACTAATGTTCTGTAGAGTTTCAGTAATGTTTGTTGACTAGCTTCCTATTTTGTCATGCAGAAGTTGTAGGGCCTTGTTACATTTTATTCTTAGGTTTTTGATGTAGGGTATAAAGGATAGAATTTGTCATAAGTTCCTCCCAGGAACTTGTATTCCTCAATGACTAGTATCTCTGTATCTTCTAGTTTTAGCACCAGGTTATTGTGCAGCTTACATTGTTGGCAAAAGTGGACACATTTTGTTTTTGTATTTGAGATTTTAAGACTCTTTGATGTTGTCCATTTGTCTATTTTGTTTATACATTGTTGCAACTGTCTCTCCATAGTATGCATATATTTTGAGTGGTATCATATAAAACCATCTACAAATAGTGAGCAGTCAACCTCAGAATTGAGGCAGTTTGTTGTTCATTTTTATGCTGAACAATATTTTACCAACAGGACCCTGTCAGATTTCTTCTTAATTGCTTTTTAAGATCCTATGTGTACTTTGAAGGTTCTTTATGCTAAGAAATTTTTAATAAAGACTGGCAATCAGCCTCTCAAACCAAGTTTGTGAATATCCTTCATAATCCCATGTTTCCAGTGTCATATGCCTTCTCTAGGTCAAAAAAAAAAGACAGCAGTTAGATGTTCTTTTTTAATGTTAGTTTCCAATCTTATCAGATTATCTACTGTACTCATTTTTTTTTCTGAAGCCACATTGAAATTTTATTTTTTCCAGGAACCAGGTCAATCTCCTATTAATCATTTGTTCCATAATTTTGCAAAGCAACTGGTTAGCAGTATTGGTCTATAGTTTTGTGGGTTTGCATGACCGTTTCCTAGTTTTGGGATAATTGTTGTTTGCTTCCAGGTTTTTGGAAATTCTCCATTTATCCAAATTTTATTGAATACATGTAATAGGTATTCTAAGGATTTGTGTGTGTGTGTGTGTGTGTGTGTGCTTGATGAATTCATAGTGTATCCTGTCAGGGCCCTCTTTTGTGTAATGGGATATTTCGTTGGTTCTGTCATAGTAAGAGGTTTGTTGTAATGTTTGAGGTTATTTGATGAGAAGTTGAGTTTAAGCTTTTCCTCCTCCAGTTGATATTTTGGAATCTGGTTTCTATCCATCTTGGAGTTTTCTATTTCTATCTTGCTACTTATGATTACTTATCCCTAGATGCTTTATTTGGAGGGTTTTGTTTTTTCCTGATATTTTTCTTACCATTTCCCAAATAATTTTCTGCTTTTGAGTAAGAGTTGAGATTGTTTACATATTTTTTCCAACACTCTCTCTTTGCTTCCATAATTGTCCTGCAAATCGTGTGCTTTGAGGTGTTTGAACTCAGATTGTGTGGGGTGGACATACGGCTGAATTTTTGCAAGGCTGCTTGCCGAAGTGTGATTACCTCCTGGCAATCTTTATCAAACCACAGCTTGTTTCATCTATTCATTTGTCCTTTCAGTATGCATTCTCCTGCTACGGTGTTAAGTATTTCCATAAAGTTATCCTATCATCATTTGTGTCATTGATTAGCTGTTTTTTACATTTACTTTCATATTTTTTCCAATCTGCACATTTTAGCCTCCAGTGTGTGCAGCCTTCCTTGTTTGGTTCAAAGTTTTCCAACACAATTGGGAAATGGTCACTACTGCAAGTGTCCTGATACACCCTCCAGTCAGTATATAGATCAAGGGGTCACATAAGGTCAAGTCTATAGCAGAAAGATTGCCAGAGGTTGGGTTTAAGTATGTTGCAGATCAGGTATTAAATAAACATAGATTGTTGCTGTTTATTGTTTCTTCAAGCATTCTACCTTCCCAATCTGTTTGTTTGCTTCCCCATATAGTATTATGGCTGTTTAAATCCCCCAGTAGGAGGAGGAGGGGGTTTGTAGCTGTTTTTTATCAATGGGATCATTCAGTGGAATATAGAGAGAACACATGTTGATTTTTCTATGTACTGTTGCTTTAACAGCAATTGCTTGTAGTTTAGTGTCAAGCTGAATTTTGCACTGAGGTATATTATTTCTAACTCAAATTGATATGCCACCAGAGGCTCCGAGTCCAGTATTGTGTATACAGTTACATGTTTCATAATTTTTTAATTTTAGTTTATTATCCTTAAGGAAGGTTTCTTGTAAGCACACAATGCCAAGGTTTAGGTTAGTCAGCAATAGTAAAAGCTCATTAAATTTTGGAATATTCCATTGGATTATTTTGCTTTTCATTATGTGTTTTGGGTTTTCTCTCTTTTCTTTGGTTTGTTTCTTGTGGCCTTAGTTGTCTTCCATTTCCATTCTTTCAAGCAATATGAATTTATCTTTAGTTTCTATCAAGACCTTTTGTTTAGAGGATTCTTTTGGCTGTGTTTTTTGCCTTGTGGGATGACCAGAATTTTGGTTTTTGGTTATCAATTTCCATATATTTCATACATTTTATACTGTTTGTTTTCCTTGTTTGTTTTCCTTGTTCTTTGTTAAACATTTGTATGTTCTTGATCATTTATGACCTTTTCATTTTATTTTCTTTCTGATTATCTTCATGTGCGTTGTTGTCCTGTTTATTTTCATTTTTTTCTGTTTTGGGATTTCAATTTTGTTTTGTATTGAGGTTTGATTGATTTTTGTCACTTTTCTGTTTGGGTAATTTTCCATTTGAGAAGTTTTGAGTGTTTTGTAGTTGAGTTGTTGTTGTTAGTGAATTTTGTGTTGGATTTACATTGTTTGTGATTAGTTTTGGTTCAGTGGTTGGGGTTGTTTCTGAGTTTACAATTGGTTTTAATGTTTTCAATATGGTTTTTAATTCTTGAATTAAGAATGTTAGTTCTTATTTTTCATGGGTATAGCTTGATGTTGCTTGGGTAATTTTTGCATATGATGGTGTATTGAAGTTTGTTTCAAAGCTTTTACTTGCTTTTGAAAAAGGTATTTTTACTGGTATGTTTAATTTTTTAAAATGTCTTTCTTTTTTCCTGGTTTCACAGTCCCTAGAAATTGACCTATGCTTTTGTATACAATTAGGACATTTTGTATCATTTGGGCATGTGATCTCTGTCTGATTAGCGATCATTATCCCCACATTTTCCACATACTGGCTTCCTTCTCCATTGATTCTTACCATGTCCATATCTTTGGCAACTGAAACATCACAATGGGTTTGGAATATATGTTTCTATTTTTGAAAGTGTATATCCAATTTTTATTTCATCTGGTGGTTCTGGTACATCAAAAGTAATGATATATGTATTGGTGTCTATAATTCCATCATAATTTAACAGATATTCTTTTTATATCTATAATATTCTGTTTTTGATAGAATTATTGTTTTTAATTTTCTCCAGTGTATACAGTGAGAGTTCAGTGATTTTCATTACACCTTTGGAAGAATTTAAATATTTGTGTAGGTAAATCTTTACCTTTATATCATGAAATTTGGTCATCCTTAGTAGAGTTTCAGCATCATGTTTTTCTTTTATTTCTATCAGTAGCCTATTATTTCTAGTCTTTGGAGTTATCCAAGATGATAAGACTTTTTCTATTACAAAAGGTGATAACTTTGTTATTAATTTGTCTTCTGTTGGTCCCATTACTATGAATTTCAAAACTTTTTTTTCTTTGATTTTTTGTGTCACTTTCTGTGTCTGCCTCAATGTGTAGTCTCTTTGTTTTTTGTTGGTGCTCATATTTTGTTTAATATTATTATTATTATTAATCAGCCATGGTCTCTACCCACTTCAAAGTCCAATATGGGGAAGATAATAAGTGGGAAAATTCAATTCATTTCATTCCTCCAGGACTGGTATACTCAAAGGTGAGGAAGGTTCCAAGTACCTGTTATATCTGGGATCATCCACTCAAGTATGGGCTTTAATCAGAAGTTGAAATAGCCATGTCAGATTCCTTTCTTTCCTTTCTTGACTCTACAGCCACTACTTACTAAGTTAGTTTAATCTTTGATATGGTAAATGCGAGTACATTTTGTTTGTTTTGTTAGTTTGACTTAGGGCTTGACATGACCAGCTGATTGATTGGGTTTGGACCTCTCCAATTGCCAATCTAGATCAAGTAAGGGCCAAAGTGGTGTTTTAGAGTTTAGGAATGTATGTATAGCCCAACTCCCAAAACCCTCAAGCATCAGGATCTTGTCCTCAAGCATCATGGGTTGCCATCCACGGCAAACAGGTGCCCCTCTTGGGGAACTTTTATACCCTGCAGGGGTGCAGTTGGCATATTCTGAAGCCCTGCCAACAGGGTGTAGTTTAACAGGAATCTATACTCTGGTTCATCAATTTATAGAGGAACAATCATGGATTAAAGTATTGGTTCATGGATTTGGTGGCATAGTAATTGTGAGTTCAATCCCTGAGTACAGATTCAGTTTCAGTGGAAACAAAGCAAGCAATAACTGAGAAGTATTCTTGAACTGACTAGAGAACTGAGGTGTGAAGAGAATTAATGGGCTCAGGAGGAATTTGAACTCTTTTTGCTGCTTTCACTTTCTATGTTGATAGTAAATATAATACCTTCATAGCCTTCAATACTTAAAAAAAAATAACAAGTAATTGTGTTCTGATACATGACTGCCCACGTCCTGAAGAAACACAGTACATAGAAGAAGAAAAAGAATTGTGTTCTATGCTAATAAACTTTTTTAAAAAGGTATTTTTATTGTACATTCTTAAAATACACAAGTTATTTCTTAAATGACAAAGATGCACCAGAGAACATCTTTGAATTTTGTTTATTTTGAAACAGAATGAGACAAGATAGAAATTTTGTTCATGAGTATCTTTAACTTAATGTTGCTAATCTTGAGTTATATCTAAAATGACATCCTTTAGTAAATAATTTAGGAAGAATTTAAACTTTAAACCTTTATTTCACAAGCAGTGACACAAAATAAAGATAGTATCATTCTAGAAATTTTCCTCTATTTATTTTTGTTACTATTAATTTTTAAAGTTGTTTTACTTAGCAAGCATTTCAGGATTTCCTGTTAAAATAATGTTATCTTTAACAAAGTAAATGCTTCTTTGGTTTAAATAAGTCAGATAAGATGGCACACCATCATCATCAGTCTCATGACCAGGTGTGGTCAAAGTATCACTGTGCTGCTGAGCACCTGACAAGTTTCTCAACATATCTGGGCTGAAAAATGGCTGACATATCTAAATCTACAACATTTCAGATCAGTGCAATGTTAGCCAAATGGTCAAGAAAGACTACTCCTGCATTAAAGAAGAAAAAGTTATTTCAGAAGAAAAGAAATTTGTACTTGCAGAAATTAAAAAATACACAGTGAAATGTTTGACAAGTTCTGGAAGTTAAAAGGAAAAAAAGAGAGTGCAGAAAAGTAAAGGCCATCTTGTAACTGACCTTATGATAACGTCCACTAAGTTTTTTCCGCAAAGCAATGGCTTTCTTTCCATAAGATATTGCTTTTCTTAAATCGGGTAGTTGGCTGGGAGACACAAAGTCATTCAGCTTCAGTTTCTGAAAGAGTTTCAAAAGAAAACATTTAAATTTCTGCTCAAATGATTAGCAACCTGTGAAAGCTTAAAGGATTGAGGTTCATTTTGAAATTCTCAATGTATTTAGGATAATCATTAAAATTTAGAAGAAAATTTTTACACTGCAGTTTTAACTAAGAGGTTGGGAAAAGTGAATGCATGTGAAATTGGGGAAATTTATTCATTTCCAATCATCATCACATTAGATCAATGGAGAGTTTTTAAATTAAATTTAACCAAAACATTTTGATGCAAATTTTAAACTCCTGATTTGTTAAAATATTAATGATTTATTGAAACTATAATTGTAAAATTAAAAAAATTATAAAGATTTTATTCTCAAATACAAAGAGAAAAAATCTATTTTGTATATTATGTGAATAACATTTTTTTGACATACTGATATCTATATGGACCATGAAAACTTTGCTTCTGCAAAGTATTTTGTAGTATATAGGATGTACTCTGAATTTAGCATGAAACAATTTGAAAAAATAAAATTGAGGACTTTTTATTTTTTACTAAATGTCCATCCAGTCCAGGAGCCACTCAAGGCAGATGGTTACGAAATGAAGTTGTTGTATGGATGTAGGAGGTTGAAGTAAGGATGTGTAAGGTTGACACTAGACTTGTAGAGGTAAAGATTATAATGTTCAAGGAAGTATAGCTCAATGATCTGTTCTATAAAGTAGTGGCTTTTGTAAAGAAGCTGTTTGAATAGAACTTCCTTTTTATCAATGGAATATAAAAAGGGAATGAAGATTATTTGCCCCTGTGTATATAGCACGGAGGTTCTTAGCTGTATTTACAGCTAAGAACCACCATAAACTGAACTAGGGAATGTAGCTCATCAGAATATTTTTCATGGAATAGCAAGAGTAGTGAGAAGCTTGCAAAATTATAGGGTGAAAATAATTGCCTACAAGACTGTGTCAACACTTTTGAACTCTGTCAAGGTTAACTTGCCAAGGACCTCTCTGTTGGGAGATCCACTGATCCTATGTTTTACTCCCCTCCACCTAGTGTCTAGTTTGCCATAATAGGCACCATGGAACAATAAGGAATACTGAAATTAGCATAGGAAATCATCAAAAGACAAGTAGGGAATTTGAACTTGAAATTTACCCAAATTTATCTGTAATACCCATCTTTGTCTTCTATTATCAACATGAAACAGAAAAAGTTTATAAAAGGCTGTTATGAATAAAGAATATAGAATGGTTACAAAGAAACCCAGAATTATATTTTTGTTAAATGCTGTTTGACTCTACACAGCTGGAATATAGAAAAAGGGAAATATTTTAGTGGAGGGCTGATAAAAGCTGATCAATTAGCAGAAAAAAGAGGCCCAACACGTAGTCTTGGCATTTCTTTTTGTAGGGGAGAATGTAGAATAACTAACTGTATGACATTGGTCAGTAGTTAATGATCGCTGGTATCAAAATATTTCAAATCACAAACTGGTTAAAGTCGGATCACTTTTTAAGTTTCTATACATGTGCCCCCTCCATTTACGATAATAGAATGAATGCCCATTTGAAAAATGTGGATTTACTGGAGAGTAGGGTCTCCATAGTATCTTGTCAATGTAAAGACAAACTCATTCAGGGATCCTAAACATATCTTGCAAGAAGTAACGGATCTTGCAGAAGTTCATTGCAAGAAAGAAACCACATGCATCCACATACCAACATATTATATTTGAGAAAGAAAAACAACTTCTGCACATGTGAATGGAAAGCATAGACATTTCTTTCCAACTTATGCCTGATGACCATACCAGAGTGCACATCACAATCAACCAATGAGAGGAAATAATAGTGAATAAAAGCCTGACTGATGAGTTCACAAATTGCTGCAGTTGGAAACAGTGTGACAAGGTGTGACCAATATTATTAGGTGTATTTTCTCTCTTAATTCTGTCTGAAAACCATAATGATATTATTGTGAAAGTTTTACGGTATTTATGTGTTACTAATACATTTTAAGTTGGTCCACTTGAAATTGTGGGATTTTCTGTTAAAATAATGTCAGACTTTATTAACCTTTAATGTCTTGTTGAAAATTTTCCGATTATATTGAACAAGTATTACAGAACAGAAATGGATGCTTGAGAAAGCGATTAGATTAAAAAGAATGTAAACAAAGGACAATTTGTGCAGTATTGCATGATTCATACAGGATGTTAAGAATTAATGTTGAACTACATAAATAAATTTCTGGCTGAGACAAGTAAGATATTGGCTGATATATCCTAATAAAAACATTTCAGATGATTGCAAAATCAGCAAATTGAGTAGAATTTTGGTTCCTCTTACTTCATCGTATATTTCTGCCATGAGGGCATAAAGTTCTACCATTCGATGGTTACGTGCTCCCAGCTCTTTCTCTTCAATCTTCATAGCAGTCTTCAAAAGTTCCAGTGCTTCATGATTTTTACCTGCTTGAATCCTAAAGGAGAAAAAGTAGACCACATTATTTTACAGGATGAAGAAAATGGTATTTTGAAGCCAACAAAAGAAAAAAAGATTTACTGAAATATAAACTGGTAGAAACATCATCATGAATAATTTAAAGAAGACATGGAAAAGATTTTGGTAGATTTGCTTAACAGCAAATAAAGACGGGGCTTTTTTTTTTTTTTTTTAAAAAGACAGTTTGATTCTATTCTGGAGAAATGATAAAATGTAAAAATCAATTCAGAAAATTAATTTTAGTCAATAAATGATTCTAGTGTTTGAAAAGTGTTGGATTTAAACTTAGAAATAATTAAAGGAAAATCCTATTAAACCGTGAGTAATATTTGGACATTCAGGCCACATGGTCACATTTCTTCCACACTAGACTGAAGCAGTTGACAGATATGAGCCAGACAGTATATTTTCTAAATGAAACAATGAAATGAGTTTAAAATTCTAATAGCATTCAAAATAGATTGCCAAGAATGAGTTATGATCAAATATGTGAATATTTGTGTCATACGACTTTGGGAACAATGTAAACTATAATGCTTGAATGTCTTGTTTTTTATTTAAATGATGGCATAGTTGTTGTCAAAGCAATTACTCTTCAGAAGGAGTCAGTTGCTCTTCTAGTCCTAGTAAGGGTGAGTAGCTGTTTAGAGGGAAATAATGGATATCTGGATTCCAATGAAAGTGAATTAATCTTCAAGGCAAGTGTTGCTCAAATTCCACTACCTTGAAACCTGCACAGATTAGTTGATAATAATGTATAATTTCAGCCAACTTTACAAGAAGCCAAATGTCACAATCTCTCATTGTCCAAACTCCTGTAATACATAAAGTTGAAAACAAACAACCCAAGAGAATATGAAGTAGTGAACAGTCTGCAGAAAAGATCATCTTAAAGGACATTTTTTGACTTCCATCAGCATGGCTGATGTTCAACTCCAGGAGAACAACTCACTGCACCTTCTTGGTTTCACATTTTCCACTGATATGAAGTAGAATGATTACATTGATTCAATTACCAAGTCTGTTGGTAGGAAAGTTAGTTTACTATGTTGTGCTAGACAATTTTTCTTGGTAGAATCTATCTTGTATATTTATAAGTCTACCATTCATCTGTGCATTAAATATTACTTCCACATCTGGTCTGGTGCTTCTGCTATATATTGAGAGACTCTTGATAAAATCTAAAGAATCTGCAATGTTATCAGTCCTGATCTGGTATCAAAGATTCATTTACTCTCCTAGCACCATAAGAGCTTTTCTGTGCCTTCAGAGTAATTGTTTTGATGAGCTTTCCCCTTAGGTATCTTGGCATTCCAAATTTAAGTGCAGTACTAGATTGACTGTTAGGTCACAATTTCACTTTTGGAATTGCTAGTTTTAACAATAAGTTCTATGCTAATAGTTTCTTCTGTATTTCTCACTCTTTTTTGGTCTTTTGCTTTCCTGTCAACAGATCTTCAAAACTTTAAATGCAATGTCAATCATCATCTTCTATCTTTTTGAATCCTGTTCTTTTATTGTTTGCTCCTTCTTTCACTCTCAACAACTAATTGTATCCTAGTGGCTTTTATTGCCTTGCATAGGATGAAATGATTTAAAAGAAAAATAAATTCCCTGTATTGAGATAAGAGAGAGAGAGAGAGAAGGAAAGGGAGTATAGTGTGAAGTAAAATTTTGTTTAAAAGCAAAATTTTCATGAAAGTTGCTATTCATAATATTTAAACTAGTAGTGTAGAAAGAAATAATTGAATTAATCTTTAAACCAAACAGAAATTTATTTACATTAATTTGAATTGACAGCTGTAGTAGCCTCTGAATAAAGATAAGAACTGACCAGTTCAAAATGACTTGTTGCAGTTTACATTCTATTATTTTTCTTTGACAAAGTGGCTTTTCCTTGCAATGGGAAGCAGCTATTTGAAAATATTAATTAGGTTTTGATAATTGACACACCATCAAGTCAAAATATAATTTGAAAATGAGGCTAGGTGCATGAAGATTGTTGTTTAGGTAAAATAAAACAGATATTTCATCTGTCGTTAAACAAGGCTTGTTCATTTCTGGAAGATTTTGCTTTGGAGAAAAAACAATTTGATTAGTGGGTGATCACTATAATTCATGTAATCCCCATTTCTGGAAAAACCAGGAAGAATATCAGTTAGTTCACAACACATTGCCCAGATTTGGGATTTTGGAAGGCATTCCAAAGAAGGGTAGAAAAGGTTCTTCACATCTTTAAGTACAATATATATAAAAGAATGGTCTCTCATCCCTTTTTTGAACCATATATCAAACAATATCCTATTTGGATAATTTAACACTAGACTATGGGGCAGGGTCCTCACAATTATTTATTATAGATTTAATACATACTTGATTATACAAACATAAGTAATTTTATAAAGTTTGCTTTATTTTGTAGGGTGGAAAGCAAGAATGACCTTCCTATTAAATCAATAATGCTTGTCTTAATTGTTGGCCACCAACAAATACTTCTTTCTTCATTTGTAATACTATTTCTATAGTAAATGTTTATATATTATCCATATAATGACTTTATTTTCCCAGTATTATTATTGTATTAATTCTGGGCCAATGAAAATTACTTTCTACCACATTTGCAATGTATTTCTATAGTAAATATTTATATGCAAAGGTTGGTCAAAAGGAAATGCCTGTTCTAATTTAATTTGTAAAATAAATGCCAATTTTCTTTTCTTTTTTTTTTTGAGATATAAACCATAAAATGTTTAGAATACTGGGGGAAAAATTTGTGAAGCTACATTCTTTTTTCATCACTATAATCCTCTTTCAAGGTGGCTTCTCCTCTGGAGACACAACAAAAGAGCTATCATAGAAATTCTCTTTTTATCAGAAGAAAGTGCTGCAAACATTTACAGGATATCAGTGAATGTTTATGGAAAGATTATCATAGATGTAAGCAGAGTAAGGTGATAGTTCAATAGAGTTAACGGCAATCCTTGAACAAAAGGAGAAACTGACATTGGTGACAGGCCTGCTGCTGCTGTGAATGAGAATAAGGAATTGGACAGGTACTACACTCTGATTCTAGATAGAAAAGTGTAACAGTCATAAATTACAAAAGTAAGTACTTAATCGAAGAATTTTAAATAATTTTTTGCTACATGTTTTACAATAATGTTGCTTCATGTTTTAAATAATACATATATTGCTAAATTTAGTAATAATGGACTGAGAAAAGATAAAACGCATTCAGTTGTTTTTTTTTATTCTGAAGATAATAACAAGTTTACAACATCTCATAGATGCCAATTTAACAAATGATTAATTTCAAATAGTTCTTTGTTTTCTAGGAAGCGAGGTAATGTCAAATAGTTTTTTTATGTTTTAACTTTAAGCATGTCAAAGAAAGCTGATGAATGATATAGCTTAGCCAAACATGAATAGCAGGTGTTCCACCATCTCGAGTACCCCAAAATCTAGCAGTCTTTATAAGCCTGTTGAGTAGCCAGCAGGGAATAATTTGAGCTTCTCAATCACCCATCACCAGAAAAAGAAACATCTTGTTGAAGTTTTATAATGATTTAATTGTAACTCAATGTGATAGAGTGTTGGCCTGACTAGCCATTGTTAGTGATTTTCATCCTTATTGAGTGCTATATGAAAATAGTCCTTAACTGAAGTTAGCTTAATTGGTCAAATACCAACTGTTGAGTTGTTTTACTTACACAACACGGCAAACTTTTTCATATCGAATAGACACCAACTCTTCCATGACATTTTCGCTTTCTTCAAATCCACTCAGAGCTTTTTCATAATAGCCTACCATCACATTTGCTGGACCAACCTGAAAAAAAATAAAACAATTAAAGACATAAATCAATCTGACTGGAATATCATAAATCAAGATAGAGACAATGTTAACCAATCTTAAGAGTTTCAGAAAAAAAAAATAAAAATAGATTTCTATTTGTGCAAAGGGTTGTGGACATAAAGAGACATTTTCTATTTCAACTGCTGAGAGGAACAAGAAAAAAGTTCCTCAGAAAATTGAACTTTAATTAACTACTCTTTTTCCACTTGTTGCAGAGTTTTGTATATCAGGCCTTGTTTACTTTTAGATAAATATATTTTTTACATTTCTTTTCCAAGCATGTTTTGTGAAAAATGACAGACAAGTTATGTGTATTATATTTTTTAATAAGTGTTTCTTATTTGCAGGGATGTGCAGGTAGTGTAATGAATAGTGGCTCAGAATGAGAAATTGGAGAGCTGAGTTCAAGTTCCAGTTGAGATTGTTACATTCATTTATATGCAAATGCCCTTGGGAAACACTATGAATCCATCTTTTCTCAAATCTATGAGTTATATAGTAGGACTTGTATCTGGAATTACATCATTGTTCAGTTCTCAATGAGAATATATATATATATATATATATATATATATATATATATATATATAAAATAATTATTTTTTAAAAATATGATTCCATTGCGACACAGAAATTATTGTTTCGAAACTGGTCATCCATATTCAAGTTTAATTTCAATATTAAAACTTAACTGTTGGGTGATTGTTTCACAAGACCAAAAAGGACTGTAACTAATTACAAAATACCATATAAATGTATTAACAAATTCAATTAAAACAATAGGTTTAAAAATACAACCCAATCATAATCTTAACAAACCATCAACAAAACAAAACAACAAAAAAACAAAAAAAAAAAAAAAAAAAAAAAAAAAAAAAAAAAAAAAAAAAAAAAAACAAAAAACAAATAAATAAACACCAAAAAGGACTATAACTACAACATCAATAAGTTAGAGTTTTAGTAGAGAGTAATAAAAAAAACAACGGAGCCTGATAAAATTAGCCATTGTAGCCAGACAAAAAAAAAAAAAAAAAAAAAAAAATCCAACCCAACCTTACATGACTCTAAAACCTTGATATATAACAAACACCCCTACTTCTATCAAAGCAGAGATCCCTTGATAATGAAAAACTAACCCCGGATTACACCTCCATTTCAGAACTATGAGTAAAACATTTTGTTGCTTAGTTATTCCAAACATCACTTGAGCAGTTATGGTTTAATATTGAAATTAAACTTGAATATGGAGGACAAGTTTTGAAACAGTAATTTCTGTGTCGTGATGGAATCATATTTTTAAAAAATAATTATAATTTAGGCTCTACTTTTGTATCAGGCACTGTTTTTTAAAAATAAAAACAAAAATACTAAAGAACTTAGGATCATCCTATTTCCTATTATATCAATATATACACACACACACACACACATATATATATATAACACATAAATACTTTAGTTAACCAAGTAACCTGTTGAGTTAACCTTCTAGAGGAAAATTAAGAAAAAAAAAGTAAAGATTATCATGCAATACGTTTCCCCTTGCAGATGATGCTTACTTTTGTGTAAAATGGAAGCTACTTATTCTTTGCATCAAGATAATTACTAACATCAAGTAAGTAAATAAAGGCTAGTACTCTATAATTTGGTAATCTTTGTGCCAACAAACAAAATGTGTCAATAGGACAGTTTTTCCCTTGACACTGCTATTATTTTAATTATCTTCACTCCTTGGTAATGTTTGTTTTAAGTGATGATTAGAATTTTAATAAAACTTAAACATATAAAAGGGAATTTATACATTTTCTTTGTAGTTGTGAATTTACAGCAAAAAAAAAAAAAAATTGCCAATCGATTCAAATGGTAAATTAGGATTTCCTTATAGTTGGTTCATCTATTTTAATAATTTAGTAAATGTTTATAAATTTATGAATAAAAATTGATTTCATATTTATTTCTTTATAAATTGGTAAATGATAAATATCACATTGCATTAATGTTATTACAACTGTATTAATTTTTAGAATGTTTTAAATATAAAATTATTCTTGTAAATAAACAATCTATTAAATAAATGGTGTGTAATTTTTGTAAATTCTCAAGAACAAAAATGTATAAATTCACTTTCATCATATGTCTAAGTTTTATTACAATTCTAATCATTGTTTTTAAAACAATAGACATTGCTGAAGAGTGATGGTAGTTAAAATAGCGGCGTCAAGGGAAAAACCATCCTTTTGACATTGTTTTTAGTGGGCACAAATGTTAAAAATTGTTGAGAATTCAATAATTATCTCCCTTGAAAAATAATTTTTTCCACCTTCTTCCAGTCAAGTGTGAATACAATACACATTATTATCACTCAGTTACAAATAACACTGGTTTTTCAAGTGGTACCTGTCAAAACTTCTGGCTACAAAGCACTGTTCAGCTCTCTTGAAAAATCGTTATTTTGAGTATGACCACAGACCCCCATAGGATTAGCATTCAGCTGTAAATCACACAGATTTTTCAAGGGGTACCTTCCTTAAATCAAAACCTCTGGTTATAAAGCACTGTTTTAACTCTTGAAAAATAATTATTTTAAGTTAATGCAATATCTCTGGCTACAATGCAGCACTTTAGCTACTTAAGGTGTCAGACAGACATACAAATCTAATTAGTATTATAAAAACAAAGTAAGTAAATGTGTGTACACAGAGGCATATTCAGATGTTGGTTGCATATAGAAAGTTACAAACTTAAAAAACTGGAAATACTTACCTTTCTCCAAAGTGATAATAATGTGGAACTATATTCTTCATGATAAAGGGCATCAAACAGGCGCCAATCACAGAGACATTTTGACAATCGATACGTATCATCAAGGCATACTAACTGATATGGATATTCCTGTAAAAATAAAAAATAGAGTGTAACAAGTGGTAACTATGAACGGCAGCAGGTGTCAATGACTAGCATAAAAAGAAAATACCTTTCTCCACCTGAATTTTTCTTCAGATTGTACATGCATTCATTTTCCTTTTGAAAAAGAAAACTGAATGTGATAGAAATCTTAGGAATCTTAGCAATGCTAAATATTTGAGCTTAACAACTTTAACAAAATATTGCAATAACAATCATGAATATGAATGCAGGTAAAAGGTTAAATACAAATAAACCTTATTGACTCTTCTTTCTCTCTTTTTGTCATTGGAACCAAACAGCATCTCTGATATGTCTTTTCCATCTTGCCTTGCAATCAAAATGGAATAGTGTATTATTTATGAGGTATTAGCAGAGTGTAATGTACATGCTAAGAAACTATGGAACAAACAGAATTGTAATATTTTTTTTTTTTCAGTTCACCTTATGGAAATTTTGGTATTTGCTTATTTCTTTACATGCTTTTACTATTTGTTGTGAATTCATTCCAAAGAGTGAACATTTTTTTTTACATTTGTTTAAAACAAAAAAAAAAAAAATAACCTACCAGTGATATCATGAGTTATCTATACAACTATGATGTAAATAATTTCTTCCTTTATGGCGATTTAAGGATTGGGAGTTTCACAAATATTTTAAGGGATTTTAAGATAAGAATAGATTATTGAATAGTGGGAAAACAGTGATGTTTAGAAAACTATAACCAACTCATAGAAGAGCAAGGGTTTACTACTACCCTGTTCAGAGTGTCCATCTTGATGCTATCTGGATCCAAATCTAATTAGTATTATAAAAATAGCTGGACTAATTTGTTATGTATAACAGATAAATATAATATATATTCAACACATATATAACAGATAAATATAATATATATTCACTGAGAGAGAGAAAGAGGGAGAGAGAGAAAGAGATAATTAGAATAGATATAAGAAATACTTACTTCAATCATTCGATCTATGTTGGGTGTAACTTCAAAAAAATCAGCAAGTTTTTTATGCCACCAGTAATAAGAATGTCCCTTGTCTAGCTCATTCTCTCCTGGTTCGAAATATCTAGAGTGAAGATTAAATGTTTTGATATAAAATAATTAAATTTTCTGTGAGATGAGTTATTAATATTGAATAAATCTTACATTTTTTATTCTTTTTTTTTTTTTTTTTTTTTTTTACACAGAGGTTAACCAGTTCAATCTTTGGATATCTTCAGGTAACAATTTTGTTCAATATCAAGTCTGTGTAGTAGCGGTGGGGTCCTAAAATTGTCCCCATTATTTTGTAACACAATTTTTCATTTCTAATGTAAATTCATACATATATTTGGATAGGCAGGAATTTGGAGGTACATGACTTTCACAAATATTCATGCATTGATTTAGACAGACGGCAATTTGGAGGTATAATACACAACTTGCATAAGGGAATTAACAATAAGTAAATTTAGTTTTAATATCAGATTGGAATCTCTCACAAGCTTATCAAGATTCTCAAATGTCCATAACAATGTAAATTATGTTTAGAAAAAAAATTGCATTTTTAATCCTAAAACAAAATCATAGCTGGACTAATTTATTTATGTATAACAGATAAATATAATATATATTCAACACATATTAGTTACAAATTAAATTTTGTGTTTCAAGACTTACAATTTTCTCACAGCTTTGCTTACTGCCCTGTGGTAGAAGTCAATTCTGCCTTCTTTGCTGTCTCCATAGGGTCTTAGAAATGGCTTCAGGATATTGTAGACGGACTGCCATTCTTCTTCAGGAAGATGCTGACATTGTTTATTACTCTCCTTTTCAGAACTCTCCTTCTCTTCTGCAGTTTAAAATAAAATGACAAAATGTGGTCAGGACATTCTTAAAAATTCTTTTAAGTAATCACAAGAATGTGTTTCTGATAAGAGAGAGAAAAATTGAAATTAAGTTAGAAGTGAGACACTGATCAAGAAAAGAATACCAGATCAAAATGGTTATTTCTGGATGTAGGATATGATTCAAATAGAATGTGGTAGATAAAATTTGAATAAAATCAGCCATGAAATATTATGTACTCACTCTAAATAAATTAATATTCTAAGCAGAATACAACCAAAAACATTATTTTGATGTCTTGTACAGATTTTGAATTTTAGGTTTTTAAAGATTAACACTATTGTTTAAGTAGTAACATTATTACAGTGAGCAATAATCACAAATGATCATGGTAATATTAGCTGTTACCATATAAGGAAACATTTGGGATTCATTGACCAAGTAGCCAGTGCTACCATTGACTGAAATTTATAAAATCTTTTTCTTAAAACAGTTTTTCAGGACAATAGGTTCCTCAAATCCAGTTATTGTTATTGCACTTCCTAATATTGATGGTGGCTTTCTTCCTTAACATTTTGTTTGATGTGGAACATTAAAATCTTGATTATGTCATCATTTTCTCTTCTGGCTATATGTGCTATCCACTTTAGTTGAAAGTCCTCAGGTGATGTGGTTCCTGTTATTTAGTAGAGTTATTTATGATTGTGTAGCACAAGCCCGGATGGTTTGAAGAAGAATGGTCCTTGCTAAGACCTACAGGCTTCATTCGCTCAAAGCCATTTTTAAACATTAATCTGAGAAAGCAGTTGTATATAGCTGAGGGTTTAGATGTTTCTGTTTGGCATCATGGATAACACCCAAAAGAAAGTTTTGGTCTAATGAAACTATTTAAAAACATGACTCAAGGTTTTAGGTTAATGTTTTGGTTTTGCAGCAACTTGCAGTGTTGGGAAAACTATACCTAGCGCAGCCTATTCTGTGTTCAATTTCCTTTGGTTATCATAAGATAAAGGCGTACACAGATTATATTTATTTTCGTTGTAATCATGAAATTTATATTATGCAATATGAAATTGTTCTAATATATAGTTTATGAATAACATGAATGTGAAAATCACAAATTGAAATGATGGAAAATAAAAAATTAAAAAAAGATTTTAAAGTTCCCATTTCCACTCCAAATAAAAGAGACAACAGGTGAAGAAGAAAGGAAACAGTGACTATCAGTAAATATGTTATACACATGATCAAAATACAAAATTATAATAACAAATATCATTTTCATCATTCTGCAGTTGATAATGTAATGTAAGTTCTATTCTAACAATTTGTTTCCTCGCACTTCTCACTTGTGGAACACACTTCTGATCTATTGCTTTCCAGTTAACTATGCTCTTCAAAAATTAAATGCAATATCAGTCGTCATTTTCTGTCTTAATTCCTGTTCTTTTATTGCTCTCTTTCCTTAATAATGTTTCTCTTTATTTCATATTCTTTCACACTCAGTATCCCCTTGCATCTTAGTGGCTTTATTGTCTTGCTTGGGGTGAAATAATTAAAAAAAAACTTAAAAAGAATTCTATGCAACAAGATACTCCTCCATTAATATTATTGATTTATCAAACTTAAAATTAATTCATGGTTTTGTAAAGTCATGGCATAAATAGGAGAAAAGTTTTGTAAAATAGAGACTTATTTTTGCATTGATTGTGATTGGGTGTGTAAATGTATATTTATGCAAGTTCTTTTTCATTAATATAACACTTAAAAAAACAGACACACACAACATTCTAACCCATTGCACCAAATAGCAAATGAAAACACACGTTTCTTCTCTCAATTTTTTGCAAAGCAGTTACTATTTAGTAAACAAATAAATTCATTATTTCATTTTAATCTGGTTGTTAAGCAACAAATCTAATAAATTTGGTCTCCCTTAAAGCTGGTCAGTCTTGACTATAACTCAAATTTCATGTTTTTTCTTTTTTCATTTTTCTAGCTACAATGGGTTAAATCAAGTTTTTAGCTTGCCTTTTTCATCAAAAGGTGAAGGAGGCATCAGAGTTGATTTATTGCCTAAGATTTGACGCATTTCCGATTCCAAGAGACCAGCTGATGATGCCTCAAGAAGACAAAGTGTAGCAGTGACCAAGTTTCCAGATGGAGTCCGCTCAAACCTTGAAAGGACACGTTCAAGGAGGCTAGGGAAAAAAAGAAACGGCTAAAATTAATGAAAATAGCAAAAATATGGAATATGCAAATTTCATAACAGTCATAAATGTGGAAAGTGAAAGCAGAGAGCAGGTTTCAAATTCTGGTTTGTTTTGTTGCAGTCACTTGGGAAAGGTATAAATTCTCTAGTCTAGAATGGCAGTTAATCTAAGAAGATTACTACAATGAATTCAAAACCATGGCGAAGGTAACAGAAAACCAGTACATAGACGTCACGTCAATTCAAAGATAATAAAGTAAAAGAATTAGTGGAGAACTATGATCCCCTCCACCATGAAGAAATGTGGCATTAAAGAAAAATCCCGTCCCTTCAAAAAATAAAAAAAAAATATAGCAGTCAACATACTTTCTTTTGTTATAATTGCTTGCTTCTTCCCTTGAAGCTCAGAGATCATGGACAATTGTTATGATTTTGAATTTAGAATTGTCCTTCTCATTAACTGGTTGTCAACCATGGCTAGAGAGCTCAGTATGACTCACTATTTAACTCATAGATGGGGTGGAGAAGATGGATTCATAGCTTTCTCAAAATTATTTGTGCATAATTGAATGTAATGAACTCAACTGGAATTTGAACATGGCTCTCTCATTTGTCATTCCGAGCCACTATCCATTACACCACCTACACTTCTCTTTGTTATAATATCACTAATAACTTTAGGTGTTGACACTTGTTTTTAATTAAGCAAATTACTAACAATTCAGAAGGCAAAACAGTTGTCAGTTTTTAAAATTTAATTACAAAACCTATTAAACCTAAGCATTATTTCCAACAAGATTTGTTTAATCCAGACGTTAGACATAAATTCCCTCTAACTTAATCAACATATCATGGAAATCCTATATAATTATTTTGTGATGTCTCTTATTGAATGGATAAGGTATTATGCATAGTAAAAGCACCTCAGTAACAAACACTGTCATAATAAGTTGTTTTTCTTTTTGAGATGATTGCTGTTTTTGTAATAAAGAAGGTGAAATAGAGTAATACTCAGTGCTTCTCCTTTTCTATGTAAATACTGTACTGCCTTGACATCTCTTTATAAATATTACTTTTCCTTATCAAACACTGAACATTAACAATACATAAGTTTTTTTCCTTTTGGCAAATATGATTCAGACTTATTTTTGTGACAGAATTAGCAGAAGAGAGAGGGCCACTGAAATCAATAAAGTTATTGTTCTTGAGAGTAGAGATATCAGTTGATAGGAATTGATTTTTGTATGATAAATTTATATACATGTAAACATGTAAAGTGAAGGAAAATGTCAGCATAAATGGCTTGCAAGATAATCTCTTGCAAGCATTGTCCTATTATAGATATGGTCTTATAAGTATAAATGTACATAAAAATACTAGCAATTGTTTCTGTGTATTATGTCAATCTTTCTTTAAATCAAAACAAAAACTCAATTACAATACTGAGTAAAATGTTGTTTACAATAAAAATATTTGATATATCATCAGTTCTATGATTGGGTGTGGTTGTAGTGTCATTGCACAGCTGAGCACCTAACTAGTTCCCTCTACATATCTCAATTGAAAGCTGGAGAGGTACCCATTCATGCTTAGGGTGACTTGGGCAAATAGACCTGCCAGAGCCCATCTCTCTCCATGTCAGGTTCTAGATATGGCAATAAACTACATCTGGCAACAAGGCTTCTGATCAGGTAGTTTTGAGAAGCATGGAACCACCTCTTAATTACTGCTGTTTCCAGGTTCACCCTGATGCAAGGTGGTAGCACCTATTAGGGTCCCAGCTATGGGTAAATAGTGAACCCCCAAACTCAAATCCAAACACTATGAAAGTATAAAAATACATTTTTATAGTAAAAATTTCCAGCAATAAATTATAGTAGTTTAAAAAAATAGTTCCAGCAACAGATTTTAAACTTACCAAATCTCCCAAGGCAATTAAATTTTTATATTAAATGATTCATAAAGATCCATTAAATAAATCAAACCAAACCAAACACTCCAAGTCAAACCATAGTCAGTGTGCTCCAGCTTCAAGGCCAACATTAGTTACAATCATGTGGCTGTTGATTCCATTGAGAACAATACCTTATCCATTGTCTTCAGTCTTGGAAGCCCTCAATCCAGTGATACCATCTCTGCACTGGCTGCATGTATCACCCAGGCTACCCTGTTGTATTAGATGGCTGCTACAAGAAGGATCATCAGTCATTTGACTGGTTTTGTTTTTAATCCTTCTGGTGGGGGAAGTGGTTTGGTCACTGACCTAACCATGTGGCAGGTAATACTGGGTCACATAGTGCCAGTAGCACTTGCAGAGTGACTTTACATAAATATACCAGCACTATAAACTTGCACAGATTGTGCAGTGTATAAGTGAGAAATGAAATTGATAAATGTACTTTTTAAACAAATTATTATCTGTAGGGCTTCATTTGTTTATCCAGAATACAAAATTAGGGATTAGTGGATAACATTATGGAAATAGCATAAAAAAAAGTACAAAAGACATGAGATGTGGATTTCTATTACAGATTTTGTCCTTTTGAGAATGTAAAAAGAAAGTTGCAAGACTACCATTGAAAAAAAGAGCTTAATAGGAATGGAAATGAAATAATCTAACTTGAAAATAAGAAATGAATGAATCATGTGGCAAATAAGGACATATAGATTTAAACTACTTAAGCAATAATAAAGATTTTGCAAAAAGTATTAATCATATTTTGGTACAGTTTCTTACGTACATGTACAGAATGCTTATTATGTCTAACAAATGCAGGAGCAAAGAAGCTATTTTTGAAGGCAATGACAAGATTAATCTACCAGACCTTGCATATTTTTCAAACAAGAAAGAAAGAAAGAAAGAAAGAAAACTAAAGCATGTAAAGTTATCCAATAATTTGGAAGCTGTAAATAGTGCTGAACCCATGAATCAACCACCTGTGTTAGTCAACAATGAAATAATTATAAGATTTAATTGTATTGAAAGTGATCCACTTGAAATGGAAGATTGAGAATGTCATCATGATCAAGGGATAAATAGAGAAAAAAAGTTCTGATATCTGGTCAGGATTTTAGGAAGTGTATCAGATTGAGAACTTTTCAGCACTTCCCTTGTACTATTTGACTAGATTTGTGTCATATCATAAAGTGTTCACAACATCTGGTGAAGCCTACCATTATGAGTTTAATTTGAGCAAAATACGTTAACATTAGCTGAAAATTAAAAAAGAAGAAAATATAATTTTCAAAAAAATAAATCAAACATTTAAGTTTAATTGATGCTACAGATTGGAATAATTATTAAAAAACACTATTTAATAGTGTTTTTCTTAATAATTATTTCAGTGTCAAATTGCTAAAAAAATCTTTGAAAAATGGAAAGCAGCCAATTGTCAAAAGGTCCAAAAACATTAGTTAGCATTTAAACACATCATTCTTTTGACTGATATTGGCAGAGGAGGGCATAGTAATAAAAAAAATGAATTATAACAAATATCCTAAACAAAGAAAATTATGGTTGAACCAGAAACTGCCTTCAGCATATCAGTCTGAAAGGAAACTATTTACAATAGAAAAGTTCTTTATTACAAATTCCTGGAATCTATATAAACTGTTATACACCAATGCTACATGAGCAATTGGCTCATTTGAAGGACACAGTAAAACAGAATACACCTTTTTCTACTTAAGGAAGGTAACTGATGATTTTAGCAAATGATCATGGAGTTGGCAGAGAGTTTTTCCACAAGCAGAATACTCTCCAGACTTGTTACATTAAAACTATTGCCTCATTCTGACAACATTTAAGATGAATATCTTAAAAAAACTCATAAAATCAAACCTGAAATCCTTCTTCAAGGGAGGAATACACAATTTACGTAGCAGGTTCGGACAAGCTCATTTCTTTAGTTCTAACAACTAGGATATATGAAAAGAGTTAAATCAATCTCATTTCCTCCATGTTCTGGAGATAAAAAGAAAGTTTCACTCAGTTTTTCCGCAAGAACAGCTACTTTGTGGAACAGATGCTACTTTGAACATTTCAATCTTGATCTCTTTATTTTAAGGGTCAATAATTATCTACCCTCTTTCATTATCTTCACTTCCTATCACCTCTGCTTCCATCTATATCACACACCTCATTCATCCTTATCATTTTGACTAACTCCGTACCTTGAGTGTTTATCCAGCCTTGTATTGGGTGAAATTTAATATTAAAAAATTTAATTTGTATGACTGAAAGATTTCATCAAAAATGCTGGTAACCTTTGCAACAACCTCATTAATTAATCTCCCCACTTCATTTACCAACAACATGTAAATGGTGTTGAAAAAGTAAAAAAAAAAAAAAAACTATTTCATCACTATTTTGTTCAAGGTTAGGTATAAAAAAAAAAAAAAAAAAAAAAAAAAAAAAAGGTACCATTTATCTGATAGAGTGACAGAATACTTGTACAAGCATACAAACAGATACAACCATTGAACAAAGTAATTTTGCAAGTCACCAGAGATGAATTCTCATTTGGTACTCCATGACTGTGATCTTGTTTCAGACTAGTCAAGACTTCATATACATCTGGCGTGAGACATTTACATATAATAAATAATACTTACTTGAGAAGTCCATCTGGAAGCTCTTTGATCTTTTGGTCAATTTCCATTGGATCAACGTGCTTCAATTCTTCACAGGCAACAGATAACCACAACGGATTCTCAGATGATTCAGTGTTCATTAAATCGGACAGTTGGTTATCGGACAATGTAACATTGGCATCAGCTTTTAACAAATTCTTCACCATGTCCTAAAAATGTACAAGAAAAGAAAAATAAGTAAAAGCATAAGGCCCTACTAAGAAAAAGTATTTTTAAATGCTATATCCTTTAAGAATATAGATATTTATGGCTTTCCTCAGTTTTCCTTTCTTTAATATATGTATAATGTCATGACTTCTTAAGATAAGAGAGTGGTTTTCTGTTGTTTTTGACTTAAATGTTGTTGTTCTTCAAGACGATACCACCTAAGGCTAGAGAACCCAGTCTACTCTGTGTGAACTGAATGGAACTGACTGTTAAAATTTGAACTTGGCATATCAAGTCCACTTTCTGTGCCAATAACTATTCATGTAAACATACAAAGCCCATTGTATGTTTACAATGAAATAAAAAGTGAAAATATTGTCACAGTGAAAAATGAAAAGGTGAGTCCAGTTTTCATAATATTTGGTAGTTTATTCAGGGATTCATTTGCATAGTCCAGTAGGGTAGATAGGTGGAACCTGGGACATTTTCTGCTACTTTTGTCATGACAGACTAATGGTTGAGATCTTCCTTTAGGTTCATATGAGCCATTGTTAAAGATGCTGGAAAAATGGTCAGTTCTCTGTAGCACTCTATTAAATACCTGAATCCTTGTGCTATCCTCTACAAGAGCCAGATTAGGTCCAAAATGGAGTACTGCTGTCATATATGGTCAGGAGTTACTCAGTCTTCACTTTCTAGTCTTGATAAAGTCCAAAAGTGTCTCCGCATCCCTGTGGATGATGAATTATTTTTTACTTTATAACCCCTTTCCCACAAATGAAACATTGCAAACCTCTCACTGCTCTATCTCTATTTCCATGGAAAGTGCTCAGATGAACTGCATTTCTTAGTTCCTCCAGTTCTTGCCTTTACAGCTAAGACCTGCCTGCCATGCCATACACATTGTAGTGAACCACCCTCATTTCCTTCATATTCCATTTGTGAGATATAAGTTCCACTCGATGAAGCTTCTTCCCACAAACCAATGTTCTGTGGAATTGATTCTCTCTGGAATTGATTCTCTCTGGAATTGATTTTCTCAATCACTACAATCTTGGTCTTTTCAAGTCTAGGATTAACTGTTACCTTCTCCACATAGCTCCACAAACTGTGTCTCTTACTCTGTAAAACTAACTTGAGTGGCTCCCAGACCTTGTACAGGGTGAACACTACTGAAGAAAAAAAAAAAGACCCGACTTTCCTACCCATGTCTATATCAAGACATGCAGCTTGCAATCCATTCTAATGGGTGGCCTGGAACTCTCTGACAAAACAGATGGCACGGAACTACCTTCAATTTTAACTGTGAATGTTTATATAAGCCTGGAAGAGAAACTTTCTAACCTGGAAGACAAGTGACACTTGTTACCAAAAGTTTTCATTTATTTATCTATTTTATTGCCTTTTGGTCAGCAGTTACCCACTTTGAAGGTCTTATTTCTAGACTTTACTACAAATCATAAAAACACCAGGCACTCAGATAAAATAATTTTGTAGTCCACTTTGTGTGTGTTCTAAGCCAGTCATATGAGGGGACATATTTTGTTACACTCTCATACACATATATAGCTGAGTTTTTTTTTTTTCTTGAATCAGGAATGGGATTAATTTTGCACACAGCAAGGTGGGTCCTACCTGACAGAGGATCTCTATCATAATGATTTGAGGCAAGGTTTTATAAGGTTGGTCATTCTTTCTGACACCCAATTCAGACACCCACTGTAGTACACTGAATGCTTATATAGAGACACCATCTCTAGGATAATTACCATTCAAGGCTTGAAACTCCATCCTAGCATCCCGCATCCATAATAAAGAGCATATATCCGCAATAACAGAAAAACATTAGATTTCAAGGAAGACTTTCTTCAGATTCCAGTACAGTTTAACAAAGTAGGGTTGCAAGATTGGGATAAATTGGAATGTTCAGTGCTACTAATTTCTAAGTTGTTTTTATTCTCGTTTGTATCTGAAGGTAGTCCACCTTATTTTTTAAAAAATAGCTCAAAATGTTATACATAGCAAAAGTCAAAATTTATTATGGGTTTTCAAAACAACCCTTGTGAAGAGTTAGAGAGAATAAACATTTCCCAACTACACCTGAAATAAAATCTTAAAATATTATAGCAATATGTTTTTGCTTTATTTTTCAGAATAAATATTAGTAATGTAGCTTGAAAACTTATTAAAAATGTCTGAATGGACATTTTACTTCATAAACAAATATTTCTAGGAAAAGATATACAAAATAAATGAGAAAAATTACAGAGTTTTATATGTAAAAAGTTATACAAAATACTCATAATTTAACAATTTCTTTATAATTTAAAATAAAAGCATTTACAAGTAAAATATTTAAAATGAAATTAAAATGCAACTATTGAAGTTGTTTCTGTAAATCATGCAACAAATTTCAAATTTTCTATAACAATATGTATATAATGTGAAATGATAAAAGCATGCAAGAATGTATATAATAAAAAATTGTATATTGTTATAAATTCAAAGAAGCTTTGAATAAAATCAGACATATTTGTGCATCTCACCAAAACTAAAGAGAAAATCTATTTTGGGTCAGTACATGTCACAATATGCAGATTTAATAAAAAAAAAAAAGAAAATTAAGTAATTTGCACACATGAATACTGGTTTACATATACTGCATTGTGTTCATATTTATTTATTCAAACAAGTTTTATTGAAAAGGATGATTTCAATAGAATTTTTCAGTTACGTATGTATACACACAGATATTTCATTGTTTTGTCAGATTTAGGGGAGAGGGAAAGGCTGAGGGTTTTTCAGCACCACCCACATGTGTGTACACACACACACACACACACACACACACACACACAGGGTGCAGCAGTGAATTGTCGCCATTTTATATTTTTAATTTTGTGCCTGTGCATTGTTTGTTTTTGATTTTATCAAGTGCACAGTGTAGTTGGGCACCATCTGTGAGAAAAAGTGCCCCATGATGCAATTCACTCTGTCAGAAATTTGGAAACAGCATGCTGTACTGCTTGGCATTCATGTCAAAAGCTTCAATATATGAGCATTTCAGAGTATTTGGGCATCAATCTGAGGACAGTGCAGAGGATTCAGAAAGAGTTGAATGAGTCTAATGGTGATTATGAAGGTGTTTGGAGTGTTTGGAGTGATCACTAGTGATGGCGATGTTATGCCTCTATTCATCTTGCTACAGGGCCTCAGACTCAACATAGAAGCCTACATCAAGTGTCTTGAGGCGATAGTGCTGGCTACCTGGGTCAAGAGGGTGGCTGCTGAAAGACCCTATGTCTGGCAACAGGACTCTGCACCATGCTGCACAAGCAGGAATGGCTGTCAGACAATTTCTGTGACCACATCACCCCTTACATCTGTCCACCTAACTCCTCAGACTGTAAACCTCCTTAATTATGTGTGGGGCACAGTTGAGCAAGAGACCAACAAAACTCCTTGTAACACCAAAGATGAACCGAAGGCAAGAATTATGGCAGCATCCAGAAGTGTTGCAGGAGATTCCGAAGTCATCTGGATGCTGTGGTTGAAGCCAATGGAGATTTTATTGAATAAATTTACTCTTCAGTATCTCAAAATATTTTTGTGTAATTTTGGTAAATATATCTGTTAAAATGATATGTCAGTGTTATTTTCATTTTTGTATAATTTAGATAACAATTTATCCATACACCATGCGTGTGTGTGCGCGTGTGTGTGCACGTGTATATATTTACATATTTGTTTGAATACAAGAGCAAACATGTTGATATGTAGATAGATATTATGAATAAATTTTAGTATGCATATTTTTGTATTTTTATGTTAATGTGGATGTGTGTATATATATATATATATATATATATATATATATATATATGTGTGTGTGTGTGCATATGTATTGATATTTGTTTGTACATTTGTATATTTGAAACTACATATTAGATGTGTATATTTGTACTTGAATTAGTTATATATTTGTGTTTGTAGGTATTTAACTGTGTATATATATATATATATATATAATATAATTTTATTATGCCCCCATAAATAAATAAACTCCTCCACTATCATTAAAGTACAGTATGAATAACAATAATTAAATTATCCAACAGTCAGTTTGCAATCAGAGTTGTGTTATTGGTAAAGAAAAGAATGTATATTTATTATTAATATAAATTATAGCTCTATTATTATACATCGAGCACTACTTTATTAGCACTAGCATTGTCTGATATTATATATATATATATATATATATACAGAATAATCACACATAGAATTAATCAGAAGTATCAATGCGATTATTGGCAACATCCATTGCTAGAAAACATAATATATGCATTAAAATCCTGTTCATCCATAGTGCGAGTTTTGATCCTTGAAGAAATATATATATATACACACACACAACACACTGTATTTCCCATTGGTAAGATGGGCCCTATAATTAGCTAGGTATGTTTTTGAAAAAAAAACAAAAAAAATTTGAGGATTTATATCTTACTGTACTAGCAAGTCCAAGTCACAAATTCTATGGTTTCATCTTTCTTTCTGTCATGACAAATTATCACATTTTGGACCTGTTACTAAATATTTGTGGTTATTATTAATTAGTTTTCAGTAGTTTGGCACAATGTTATACCTATTTACATTAAAAACAACAGTTTCATTTTGGAAGCATTAAAATTTACAAGCCATTTCTTACACCAGTTAAAAACTGATTGGAGGTCATTTTCAGATATATCAGCAAGAGATATAAATTTGGACATTTAACTTTGGACAACAAAATAAAATACATGCATTCATGTATAACTTTGTTATTTTTATTCTTTTTAATGCATAAGCATTGCTTAAGTTTAAATAATTTAGATTTTGTCATAGATTTTACAAGAAAAAAAATTATAACTTGATTCTAATGCCATCCTACCACTGCTTCCTACCACCTCCTTTTTTCTAGCTGTTCCCTAAATTCCCTTTTTTTCTAATTGACTTCCTACTGTTTCTTTTTCCTTACCTCCCTAGATGATTTCAACTGCTCTAACCCAAAGGGAATCACAGATTTATGGTAAAAAGAAAATTCCTCTCATGTAACTTTTATTACAGTACATTACCAGAATTAGTCTTTTATCACAAGTCATTGATCTCTTATTGTACCTAATTTTTAAATTAAACTTTATCATAGGTATATATGGAAAGAATATAATACATAATAAAGATCAGTACTATTGGTGGTTTCAAGCATCTGTGTTGAGTCTTGAAACATGTTCACCACAGATAAAGGAACACTACTGAACTTTTAAAGTTACCAACCCAGATGTGCATTGTGTTGTAATGGATGTTGGCTCATAATGAGAAATTGGAGAGGCAAGTTTGAATTCCAATTGGATTTGTTACATTCACTTATGCATAAATACCCTTGTGAAAGGGTATGAATCCCATGTCATCCCCCACCCAGCTATGGGCTGAATAGGAGGGCAAATTGGGTCAGCTTGGTTGGCAACCAGTCTACTAAAAAAAAAAAAAAAAAAAAAAAAAAAAAAAACGGCAACCTACTGCAGGAAAATCTTCTGCCTACTCAGTCATGAATCAAAGAGATATGATTATCCAAGCATCTAAATAGACAAATGTTATCTAACTTCATTAAACTCAGAGGGAAGTCAAAACAATGCAGTAATTCAGTTAAAATCTTTCAATATGGCAAAAACTTCTCCAGTTTCAAGTGTTTGGACAAGATTATTATTTTTTTTTTTTTGCTTGTTACCTTTCGTGATTCTACGTCAAGAGGTGCAATGTTAATTTCAATTGGTTTCGTCTCTCGTTTCAACAAAGTTTCATGTTGCTGAGAATTCTCTATGGATGAGAAAATGATTCGGACTTGTGGGGCTAACTTCCTAGGTAACCAACTCAGCACTCGGGCAGCTTGGTCATCAACAAACTGAAAAAAACAAGAAAAAAAACAAATCTTTTTAAAATTAAAAAAAAAGTAAAACAGAAATTATTTTTTTAAAATTTAAATTTTAAAAAAGTGTGTGTGAAGTCAGCTTATTTCTTTAAGTGTCTACAGAGAAGAAAAAGATATTTTCCATATGGAAAACATGACATCAATAAAGAGACTGAACTGGCAAATGGTGTATGGGAAAGAGAGAAAAAATTAAAGTTCAAGCACCTGGAAAATAAACAAAATATGTGTGGTATTAATTGATAATACAAAGTGTGTATGAAATTCTTCTCTGATTATGGACAATTATACAATCTTAAAAATTATAATTAATAGTGTGGGTTACCCCCACTTGGTTCACCAACACACTGGTAGGTGGCACCGTTAAACTGTTATAAAAATGGGACACTTCCTGCCTTCTTTCTTTTTTCTCTCAAGCATGTGGAAGAAGTAACACCAATATGGGACCTGTCCCCAGCATGAGGACATCTTTCCCCTGAGTAACTGAACTCTTACACACACACACACACACACATACATACACGTATCAGTCACAGACACACACAATTCCTAATTTTTTATATAATCTTTCTTTTCAACTATATTTACATGCAGACTACAGTATTTTCTCTCCTTTGTTAATCAGTCAGTTGTGATATAAAAATATGAAAATATCACATTGCTGAAATTTATTCCATTTCCTTTTATTCCTATTAACAATGACCACAACTTATTTATGTGCAAATTTTGTTTGCCAATGCTTTTAGTTCAATTAGAAGCAGTAACACAACAATAAATACATGAATGCAGTCACATTGACAGAATTAAATAACAGAAAGACATCATGTTTACTTTGTATAAAAGTTCATGTAAAAGTGAAAAATGTAGAATGTAGGACAAAAACCTCCATTTTGGGCAAAGAACACAATCATCAATAAACAAGGTAGTCACTTAAGAAGGATGAAGAGCTTGAACAATGTTTGGTATATTGAGTATTTAGTACTTCCTTATTTTTGTCATCCCCAGTGGTAGCCATGCTGAGGATTAATGTAACATGTAATTAAATATAGAGATGTGACAAATAACAAACATATCACTTCCATGACATAAAGGATGGACATACTTTAGCATATCTATAAAATCATTTTTTTAAAAATACAATATGATATAAAAGTGGCTCTGAAAGTAATACCTCTTATTACATTGGCCTTCAACATCAGATGATGGCAGTAGAGGTTATATCTACTGGTTACTGACCCTCATTTTTTTTGCCTTCTATAACTAAGCAACAGTTTAGTAAAACAGCATCTGACATAAAAAGTGTAGATGAAACAGATGTGTTCCAATAAATTCATCCATGCAGAAATAATTGCAGATATTGACATTCATAAATGCGTGTTGAATGATTACAGAGACCAAACAGTGGATAATGCATTTCAGCAGTGGCAACAATAACATGTGACAAACCATTGTTTATGTGGAAAAGTGGAAAAATAATATTTTGTAGTTGAAAATTTACTCTATCCAATGGTGCTTCTATACTTATCCTATTTTTTGTAATTTTTATGGAAATAAGAGGTGTAACTTTTGGAGTATTTTACATTTAAAATAAAAGTAATATCTTTTTGAATCATTATGAATGGCACAAAAAAAAAATATACTTGATGAAAATTTATATTGTATATACAAATGGTATGCTGAAAAAATCTTGGTCTAACCAAACTCTTTAAAAAATAAAAAAAAAACAACATTTGATTTCTCTTTCCAGAAAAGCTTTTCAATACCTCTTCATAATTGGTAATGAAAGCAGTTTTTCAAATTAATCAATGAAACAATGTTAAACAGTCTGACTGATCAACACAGGTGCATATTCTTTGTTAATTTGGATTAAATACTTTCAGTGGGGGACCTATTTTCTCTGACAGTGTCAATAAGTTAAACATTTAAAAAAACAAAAAACAAACAAACAAAAAAAAAAAAAACAGAATTCTCTTTTGCCAAGAACATCACTTTCTGACTGGCTAACAAAAATCCCCAACCAAAGTCTGTTGTTAAAGTCAATAGCAAATAAATCATAATAAATCTATCTGCTGGGTCAGTCTGTGTAAGCTGGGAGCTGTAAAAATAATTACAGTCTGTAAAGAGAGAACAATGAAAGTCATGCTAGATTTACAGCCAAGGAAGTAAACATGACTTTTATTTTCAGAGTCTTATAAATCTATCCAGCATATGTATGTCACTTGCAAAATATTGCTTCCTTGCAGAAATATTCTAAAAAATGAAGCTGACATTAATCAATAACGTTAACTTTAGTGATTCACCTACTGCTCCACCCACATAACATTGCAGGGTGGGAAGGAGACTTTTGATAAAACATGGCTTAGAAGTTTTGTTAAATTCAACTCATCATTTATGCGTAAGCATGGAAAATTTTAAATGGTGGACCAAAAGTCAATTTCTTTTGATTTCAAATATTAAAAAATAAAATAATGCATAAAATTTAAGAAAATTATTCATTCAAAGTGTTTATTTTTTTTTATAATTAAGCATGCAGAGCTACATCCATTCTGCAGTTGGAAAAACTCTTTTCAAAATATATTTTTTTTTTTTTTACACTCAATTTACACTTTAAATTCGATAATGAATAAGTTTTCGATAATTTAAAGAAGATTCTTTTGGCTCCTTAATTACTGTTTTTTTATTTTTTTTTATTGTACTCTCTTCCTTCATAATGCTTTTTGCTTAGATTCTTTCATACTCTATAATACTTGGGTCTTAGTGGCATTATCACCTTGCTTGTAGAATACTCAAGACTATTGTACAAATGTAAATTAATAATACTCGCTTTCCAATCTTGAGTGTAAGAGAATATGAGAAAGAAAACACTATTAAGGAGAGAGAACAATAAAAGAACAGGAATTAACAAAACAGAAGATAACAATTGACAATTCTAAATACATAGCAGAAGTACCAGACCAGATGTGGCAGCAATATTCAATTCATGGATAAATGGTAGACTTTTATAAATGTGTAAGATGGATTCTGCTGAGTTGTGAGTTTTATCACAAATTAATGCTTAATGTAGATTTATATTCATGTAATCTATTCTGGAGCCTTAAAATTATAAAAAGGGTCTAATCACAGAAGGATGTTGTAAACAAAAAAAAAAACTTCCTGCTTCAGTGTCTATACAATAAATTCTAAGAGAAATGTTGAATTGTTGCATTTTGACAACAAAATTAAAATCAAATTTCAAAGGAAACAAAAAAGGTTTTGAAAAATATCTAAGAAAGTACAGATCAAACAGATCTAAAGTCATTTATCCCTAAAAGCTTGTCTACAGTCGTAAGTGGCAATGCAAACATATTCTTTATTCAACTCATTTCACTTTTGTGACATGTTAATCTAACTGTATGAAGGAGACATGTTTTATCTTTCAAAATTTATAAAAAAAAAAAAAAAAAGAGTTAAAGAGAGAAATGTTGCAAATCAATTCAGCCTCACAAAAAGAAAAAAAACATTTTGAAGTCTGATTCAAGATGGAGTCATGATACATTTTTGCCATGAGTCACACAGATGCAACAAAAAGAAATTCAATTTTGCTTTCTATTTACCTGATTAAGAGCATCAACAAACATAATTAAAGGTCGTGTATTTGGATTGGACAGCATACTACAACACATCTGGGCGGTGGCATCTAAATCTTTTGGCATGTTTGAATCCTGAATAAGAAAATAGAAATTATTGCATATTAAAATATAAGTGCAAAAGAAAATCTTACATTTTTTTTTTAATTGAATTTACCCCAAGAAAGGTAGTAAAGTCACTAAAACACCAGTGTTTACTGGGTGTGAAATAATTAGAAAACATTATGAAGGAATGAGAACAATAAAAGAGTAATCAGGGCGACACTAGATGACAACTGATCTTCAAAATTTTAATTACAATGTCAAAGTTGGCCAGAAAGCATGGAGCTGGAAGTGTGAGAAAAAAAACAAACTGTTAGCATAGAACTAATAGTTACATCTAGCCAGTTCAACTGTAAATTGACAAGAACTTGTTGCTAATCTAGTACTGTGCTTAAATTCATGCTGATGTCATTACAAAGATTGTTAATGAACATTAAAAACAAAGTGGGATCAATGATAGAGCCCTGGGGGCCACCTGCATTAGTACAGAAGGATCTAGAAGAGTGGCCATTCAGGTCAACTTTCATTTCACAATTTGACAAGAAAGACTGAATAAAAAAAATCATGTAATTCCTCCCCAGGAGTAGGGGTTTATCTCTTGTTTCTTGTTTAGGATTGGGTTTCTGGTACCTTCTATAGTCTATTTTAGCTCTATACTTCTAACACTTTTCCTTTCTTATGTTCATATAACTCTATACCGTAACCCTCTATCTTGAGTAGCTCTTGGGAGTTGTATTGGGTAAATATTAGTGTGTGTGTGTGGGGGGGGGCATTTGAGTAGGAAAACTATTTAAAATTATCTTTATAACTTTGATTCTGTCTAGAAAATTTATTAACACTTTCAAGCACTGACATCTTTTTTTTCTCTGACATGTTGGCCAAAAATGGAATAGTGGATTTTGGGTTTTTTGCCCTTGTTTGTTTGTTTTTTTTTTTTTTTTTTTTTACTTTACTGTATTTTAAATGTTGTGCACACCCTTTTTTTCCACAATCAGATCTCTGAAGAGTGAAAAAGGATAACCAGTTAGCTTTTTTATTTCCCCTTTTCTGTTTTGATTTACCTGTTTTATATTATTCATTGTTCTCCTTTTATTAAGTATCTTTTGGGGAGTACAAAACATACATGTTTGATAAAACATATATAACCACAATATAATTATTGTTTTATATGGTTTAATGTTTTTACAGCTATATTAAAATTTTGTACTCCCCAAAAGATACTTAATAAAATTAAACAGCATTACTGGAAAGCAGATAATAATCATAGCAGTATGCAGAAGACAAAATGAAGTTGTGAATTTTAAAAAAGAGGACATTACACAACCCATTAATGGTGATATGAATAGCTCAGATGCTTTTTTTCTAAATGTGATGTAATTTTTATTTTTGAGGCAGTTAATGAAACTGTTTTATTTTGTTTTTTTTTTTTACTGGAATATGATTTTAAATAGATTGGATAAAAATATCAAAGAAAATAGTTTAGAAGGAAAATTGAAAAAGTGTAAAACTATTTTAGAAAATTCCACTTCTGTGTGATAAACAATTTTCAAAATTATTTCGGCAATTTGAGTGTACAACATTCATATAAACACATGTGTAAATAAATTAAAAAAAAAATATTTATATACTCATATAGATAAAATAATAAAATACCCAGTGGCAAAAGTCAGAGTTTTTAAAACAACAAGGGGGCATTTTGTTAGGAATGGTGTTACGACAGACAAGGAAACAGGTGAAGGGGGGGGTGTTGTGACAATGGGCGACAACGAATTCTGTTGCTACAGACAGGCAAACAACAGATGAAGAGGGCATTGTAACAGAGAGAAAGTACTGCACAAAAGAAGCATTTTGCTAGTGAGGGTGCTGCAACACAGAAACAATAGATGAATGGCTCATCTTGACTGATGGGGGTCAGAATATGAATGGGACTTGGTGATAGATGGGGAGAGAGCAGAAAAGGGGACGTTAGAAAAGATAAGGAGGAGTTTAGCCAGATTTGGAGATAGACAAGAAAATATACAAAGAAGACAACAGATGAAGGTATTATTGTCACAGATCCTTAAAAAATATACGAGTGCATGGTATGATATGAGAAGACAACAGGTGAATGTGGCATGGTAACAAACGGGAAGAAGGGACTGAGACATTAAAAGAACACATTGAGACAATAGACAAAGGAAGTCATTGTGTCATAGGTGGCTGTTGTTAAAGAGGAGCACATTGTGAAAAGGAAGAGTCTAAAGCACTGTGACAGGGGAAAGTGACAGCAGAAGAAGCAGGCATTATCATAGAGGTAAGAGAATACAACAGACAAAAGAAGACGCTTTGTGATGACAGATAGAGAGGGACACAATGAGAGAGAGATTGGAAGATGACAGCTGAAGAAACAACAGATGAAGAAGCATTGTGACAGAAAAAAAAAAAGATTATTTACACTATTTACATTGTTTGGACTGTTGTCGTCATCTTTGTTGCCATATTCACGAAACACATTTCTGCTGTTGTACACTCCGGCCTTCTTCAGGTGATTGGGATTTTGAACTGAACCCTTTATTTTGTCCACCAGTGTAGATTGTTCTAGTTCCATATACCATGCCTCTTCCAGATGTCTCAGTTATTTCCATTTAACTCAACTCTCCAAGTTTTTGTTCACCACTGCAGTAGCCAAGTATTGAACTCATAACTCTTGGACAAAATAAAGGGTTAGTTCAAAATCCCAATCACCTGAAGAAGGCTGAAACATTGTGAATATGGCAACAAAGATGAGGACAACAGTCTGAACAATGTAAATAGTTTAAATAATTATAATACATCATCACATAGATATAGACAGATAAAAAAAGATATCGAGAAGAGGGGCAGTTATAACAGGGAGTGAGAAAACATTGAAAGGAAGATTTTGACTGATGGGGTTGATACATAGGAAAGGTTGTTGTGACAGAGGAGACAACAGTTGAAGGGGTACACTGATGGATAGGGAAGCCAGAAACTGAAAGGTCATTATGACTGAGGGGGAGACAACAGTTGAAAGTGCATTGCAAAAGAGGGAGCCAAAAGCAGAAGGGGGTAATATGTTAGAGGTGGAAAGATAATAGACAGAGGCAGAAAGATAGTAAAGAGATAGGGAGGTAGTGATAAAAGAGGAAGGGAAGAAATAATAATAGGTGAGAAGGGAAATGGGGAAGAAAATAATAAGCAAGAGGAGGAATGGTAAATAGTAAAGAAAGTAAAATAGTAAATGGTGACTATGCAGTTATTACAATCTAATGGTTAACATGTGTTGTTTGATAAACATTAAACCCAAGTAGATAGGAAGAATGCTGCTGCTTGATAAATTGTCATAATGAAAGGAAAACAAAAAAAAAAAAGGAAAGAAATTCAGGGGGGGGAGAGAGAGAGAGAGAATGAATTTAAAAAAGAAAAAGTTCCTTTTATCTGACTTGAATTAAGAGGAAGCACCACCAAGGCTTTAAATCTACATAAAGAAATTGTGAAAAAAAAAAAAAAAAAAAGAAAAAAGAAAAGAAAAGAAAAATCACCAGAGAAAACCAGAGACAAAATCTTTATTGGATTTGGGAAATGACAAAAAGAAATCCACATGAATCTGGCATCAATAACATCCTGGATAAACAATAGTATCTGCAGCAAACAACATGTATTCAAAACTCTTGCATCATTTTGCAGTATATAACTGCACTTAAGTGTCATTCAGAGCCTTTTTACCAGCCAAGTGTGTGTGTGTGCGCATATAAAGCTTTAAAATGATAAAAAAAGACTCTTGCTCTTATATTTATTGTTATTATCATGTTTCAGACCTTGTAACTTCTGGCCTTCTTCAGATGTGAGAGAATTTTAAACTGAACCCTTTATTTAATCTATGGGTGTAGACTGTTCTTGTGCTACTGTCCATTTCTAGGGATATATCATCATGTTTTTATTTTTAGTACTACTCAGTTATTGCTAGTTTGGTTTCTACCAAGATGAGATATCCTTAGGCATAGATAGTAAAACAAAAACAGTCTAGTTCCATAGATTAAATAAAAAGTTCAGATTGACAGATACCTGAAGAGGGTCAGAGGGGACAATGGCTGAATCTTTATAACAACAAAAATGAAGCCATTAATCTGAATGTAAATAAGGATAATGCTTCATCTCAGAAATTCAGACAGAAAATAAAAAACAACTTAAGTGTTTTAACAGTTATGAAAATGAGCTTTATTTAACTGAAAGTTATTATCTGGAAGTCTGCATAGTGCCAAGCCTCCAACTGAGGTGATCTGGCATAACTTAAAAAATCAGCAATCAAAGTCTTGACTTTTGCATGGGTTGTAATATCCAAAGATACATTCGAATTATAGGTGACCTTATCTAATAGTGGAAAAAAAATGAAATCATGCAGAACTTTCTTTATTACACTTTTTTTGTTTATTCCTTGTACATTTAAAATAAAAAGTAATCCTAATTCTAATTGACAGTGAAAAGTGATGACTTTAAAATTAAAGATATTAAGAAAAATTGCAAAAGAAACTACCAAACAGATCTAGGGTATTACCTAATTCCTCAAATAAAAAAAAAAACTTTCAAATTAACCACAGGATTGAAAAAAGTCTACAAATTTATTTGTTCCTGAAATACTAGAAACAGAAATTAAAAATGCAGTCATAAATATATCTGCTGTTGAGAAAAACATTTTTATAGAGTATTTTTTTTTTATTCATTCTATAATTTAAATTGGATAATAAATCAATTTATCAAACATCTGAACATGACGAGCAATTTGACATGAAACTTCAGAGTCAGTCAATGAGATAAGTCCATTGAAAATGTATTGATTTATTGAATATTGTTGCTCTAGTTTACCAATTTAGGCAGAAGTTCTGCTAACCTGAAAATACATTAAATGCCAGTAATTTTTATATGTGTATATGAAATTGTATTATTAGTAGTAGTAATAATTTAAATAAACTTTGGAAATCAGAATGAATTATCTACAATATTTTTATAATGTAGAATCACACATAACATTATCTGTAAAATGTGCTTCATATAGGCATAAATTTCACAATTAAATATAAATTCTTATGTAATGGTGAGATTAGCTGTTTCCATATGGGAAATGTGGTATTTACTGGCTGAACAGTTAGCATTACTGTCAGTTGAAATTCATAAAATCTTAAGCGAAAGATTTTATAAATTTTATGCTAAACAGTTTTTCTGGAAAATACGCTTCTCAAGATCTATAGTTATTGCTTTTTCTAGTATTGATGGCATTTGTCAATAAATCTACATGATAAATATTTAATTTTTCACATAATCTTCTCTTTTCAATGCACTAACAAGAGTTTACAAAGATAATTTCAGATCAAAATCCAGCTAATAACTTTGTCAGTCTGCCTCCTTATACATCATCGTGAGTACATGGAAACTTCATGAGAATTATTTTTCCCATCTATCCAAGAAGATGTCTGTGATTGTCTCCAGGTGTAAATTAAAGTCTGTCTGATTTTCTATGTACCCTCATATTTGAATAAAATGGAGTTTGAAATAAGTATGGAGGATTGTTTGAAACAAGTGGAGAAGGGGTTGAAAGAAGTGGAGGAGTGGAAAAATCTTAGGATTGGTTAGGATTAATCTAGAATTTAGTTTTTTGAATGAAGAATTGGTATGTAAACATACAGCAAATTATTTAAAGAGTTAAAACAATTTCTACTGTATTAAAATCTATACCACAAATAAATATCAACTTTACAAAGACTTTGTTTCAGTAATTATTCTTGTCTTCACAGATGGTCGAACATCGTTACATACAGCCATGAACTGATTGCAATTGATTGATTTATTCTTTTATGGCTTATGAATCCTTTGTGGGCTATTTAAAGGAGAACCATATTTTGGATTGTAAGAGGTCACTTACAGTTTGTAGCTGTCCACCATCTAAGTACTGACCAGGCTTGACACTGTTTACCTTCAGTGATCAGATGAGAACCAATGTTTGAACTGATTGCAAAAAGGCATGAATAATATTGAAACTTCACACTTGTTAAACTCTTCAAATGTGTCTTTCTCATTTATATCTTTTAAATTGTTTTTAAAATAACAAGGAAAACAGTGTGTCACATGACAAAAATATTATTTTGATCCGTTAAGGTCTAAATTAATTTTTAGAATTGAATGAAATTTTAGAATCTGTACCAAATCAGTTTCACAATTCTAAATGATCATTTAAATAGAATTGAAATTTTTTCAAGAAAGTTTCTGCAAAAATAAAGTAGTGGGGCTTGGAAATTATTTTCAAAAATTGGTATTTGCACAGGTGGTGGGGAGAGGGTACAATTATTACAAACACAAGAGTAAAGGCATTAGCACTTTTGTAAATGCCTTATTTGAATAAAAACTGTCTTATGTTATGAGTTAATTGAATTTAGACTATAGATTTTAAGCAGAACAACATTTAACAAGCTGATTCTACATAGCAAATGCAAAAGAAGCACCATTATTCCAGCCAAAAGTTCAGGAGAATCTAAATATTTTGTCATTAATTGGAACAACCAATTCCTTAAAAAAGCAACAGAAATCAAGAGAAATGTAAACATACATTCGCCACATCCATTTCACGTAACAATCTTTTCAGCATCACTTCGACTGTGGTTGAGCCTGGAACGGCTCCTACAAAATGGTAATAGACATGCCATTTTCTACCGCAAGCACTGAAAGAAATGAAAGAGGAAAAATTAGCCATAGCACCAATAATCAATGTGTAACATTCAAATTATATAAGTTTAACAAACTAAATAAATGGGCTGCTGAAAAATTCTAAGCCTGACCAAGAAAAATGATCTAGATTGATTTTTTATGGCTTATTAATCTTTTGCAGACTGTTTAAAGCCATAAAATATTTTTTAGTTTGTATGAATTTTAGGGAGATAGTAATGATTTATTGATACAAATCCTACTAATTAATAACTGGGTAGAGAAGAGATGGAAATATACCTTTCCCATAGGTATATGGTGCAGAGGGGAATATAACAAATCCAACTGGAATTGGAACTTGGCTCTCTGATTTCCAATTCCAAGCTGTTATTCATTACACCACCTGCACATCCATACTTACTACTGACCAGGACTGACATTGCTTAACTTCAGTGATCCTATGAGAACTGGTGTTTCAACAGGATATGGTCGTAAGTCAAATGATCTAGAACAGTGAAATGTACATGCTATTTCCACATATTCTTCCTCAACCCACAATAATGTACCAAGCATGTGGAAAGTCTATTTAATTCTTCCAAAAAAAGATTCTTATGTTTGGTTAGTGTTATGGTTTTACCCATGCACACATGGACTCCCCCAGCTATAAATAGGATCAGGTACTTTCTTTTTGAGAGGGTAGTTTCTGGCAGTCAGCTCTGACAGTCAGACCAAACATTCTTGCTGTAACACTCTCATTTGTATATGTTTGTATTACTGTTTCTGTTAATATATTTGTTTAACTCAATTCCTCTCTTGTGTCTTTATTAACAGTTAGTGAAATACTGTTTTGGCTAAGTGGATCTGGCTGAGAACTTTTCAGCTGCCCCGTCTATAAACCTTAGCAACATGAATAACATTATTTTTCTATTACTTGACAGAAAAAATATTTTTGGCTACATTTGTTGGTTTCTAAATAAATAATTATGTTTCATAGTTTAATAATCATATTTGTTTGAAAATGCTCTTTTTGATGAAATTTTATTTAAGCAATAAAAAATATTTTTACAAATGTATTAAAGAAAAAATTATAGTAAAGCATATTATAAAGTGTGTGTGTGTGTGTGTGTGTGTGTGTGTGTGTGTAAAAGTTTACAGCATTTCTTATTGAAATTAGTCAATAATAACAAACACATTTATTCTATAACTGTCAAAATATTTTTCTTGACTTTCTATGACATCATACTAATATTCCAGAAGTTTTCCAAATCCATCATAATAAATGACTATCTAGATGCAGTAAAGTTGTCTATGAAATCTTGAACAATGAATTTGATTTTTTGTTCCAATAAAGAATAATAATTAAATGGTGCCAAATCTGGTGAATATGCTGCATGAGGAAGAATGTCTTGTGTCAAGTTTATTATAATTTTTGGCTTGACAAAACAATGTATGTATGTATAAGTGATATCATGCAACACTATGGCTTTCTAATTTCCTTGCCTTGAAACTTACATTTCTTCCCCAAATGCAAATTTCACACTTAAAAGATGACAACTGTAATACTGCTGTTACAGTTTCACCAGGTTTCAGCAATATGTAACAAAATACACTTTTCATATCTTTCTTTTTTCACAACATTGAAAACTCATTTAGGGTTATTTAATGCTATAATTTATTTAATGGAAGTTTGAAGGAGTTAATTTTACATTTTTATATTGATAGGTCGAGTTTGAAATGATAGAAAGGTTTGGTTTTTAGAAGCGTCAAAAGGTTTCTTCATAATTAGCCCTTCTCCTTCAACATTCAGAGGAGGGATGATCTGTACAAGGTATAGATGTTCAACTCTTTCAGGTATTTGATGTACCTGTACACCCCTGCTTTCATAGATTACCAACAATAGAGCAATAACTTTTTCTAAAAAGATTATTTTTTTCTTGTTGATACATCTGACTGCCCATGATTTTTCATGCTTCAAATTATCACAGTCAACACATTTTTCATCAGCAGTGAAAAATCTTCCACAATAAAAAGTTGTTTTCATCTAAGTCAAGAAATGAAATGCAGATGGGGAGACATGGCTGATACATGCTGAAACTATTTTCCCCAATAGTCTCCATAATAGAATTGTCAATTGCATAAAATTAACATCTTGTTCCCATCACTGTAAATGTTCCAATCACATATCTTTTTCTATAATGATACACTGACTCCTATATATTGGTCATGAAATTACAAACAGTTTTTCTAAGCTAGATTTAAACTAAATATATACTTTTTAAATATTCAAAATTTTGATTTGTTATATATGTAATTTTGGATAAAGCTGATAACCATAAAAAATTACAAAACATCATCGATGGTCAAACTAAATTCACCAAACTAAACAAAAACTTTACAAAGACCCTAAAAAGGTCTGTCAACAAACTCATAACATTGAATAACGCTGAAGTTGTTTCCCTGAAAATCAAAAAAAATCATTGGAGATTACCAACCTGGCTACTTATATGGAAATATGAAAAATGCATAAACCCGGATACCTGCTATGACCATTCATTTCCCAGATCCCAACTCCTATTTATGAGCTATCAAAATTCCTTAATCATATCATTACTCCATACCTATCCACCAATTACAGCATCACATCAACCCACAAATTTCTCCAAATTTTAAAAAGTACAAAATCAAACCAAGTCACTTGATATTGAAAATTTATTCACAAAAGTCCCTGTCGATCAAATCATTGACATTATCCTCAATTCCGTGTACACTAATAATTATATCCCTTCACCATCCATCAAACCATTTATACTCAAAAAATTACTACATGCATGCACATCCAAAGTCCCATTCTATGACCGTAATGGCAACATTTACACATAAACTAATGGTGTTAGTATAGGAAATCTGTTTGACCCATGCTTCTCCAATTATTACATGTCCCATATAGAAAACATGATATTTAAACAGGTCTGTAAACCTAAAATATATGTCCGCTATGTAGACGATATTTTTATTTTAGTGAGTAACACAAAAGAAATAGATACTCTCAAGACCACATTTGAAAAAAAAACAAAAAAACTGTCTTTAACTTTACCTATGAATTTTATAAAAAAAAAACAAAAAACCCTACCATTCTTAGATGTTCTCATAGAATATAGGAACAACACTTTTATCACCTCATTGTATAAAAAACCCACTAGCAAAAACTCGTGAATGATGATTCAGATACAAAATAGCAGTGATAAAAAAACTTCCTAAAAGTACAAAACAGACACTAATTATAAATGGCTTCCCTGAACACCTTATAGACCACCAAATTAGAATATTTCTTACCAAAGTAAATAATAATGATAGTGAACACACAGTCAAATATAACAATTATTTTCAACAAAAGCCAAATGCACGTCAACTAAAAACAAGATGAATCTTCACTTAGAAATATCATAAAGAAATACACTAACCCAATTGACCCGAACAAAACAAAACAAAAAAAAATCAAATTATCTACTACAAAAAATGTAAAACAGCTAACCTTATCCTCAAAAATAACACCACACCAGCAGAATCAAAATTACAACAAACGAACATTATGAGTTGAAATGCCCGTTAAGGAACTGTGTTCCTGATCAAACCGAATTTATAAATAATTACATCAGTCACACTACTACATGCCTATCCAGACTCCTTATCTTACAACTATCAGACCACAGCTCCATCAGAACCCTTTTAAACAAATGCACAAGCTTACCAGACTCCATCCGAAACATACAAGTAGTATATATAAACATAACTTCATCCATATGTAAAAATAGATTAAAAATATAAGCTTTAATAATAAAAAAGAAAAATCCAACACTCAATAATATTAACTACGAACACTGTGTTCAGAAAATAAAACATCATTACAACTCTAGAAATATACACACAACCCATACATCCAGTTAAAAAGCAAAAATAAAATCATCCTTGATAATGGCTAAAAAGTACAGGCGAAAGCGCTCGGAATTACAGAACATTTGGACAATTTCTACACAGTCTGTGTCCAGAAAAGAAAACAGTTGTTTGAATACAAGAAAAAATAAATAAAAAGCTTAATTGCAGTAACTTGTCTGTTGTCTTTAATGAAACATGTATAAATAAAGGATTGCTGCCTAAATACACTAGCTATATATATCTATATATATATATATATATATATATATATATATATGCACCAGCATGAAAGAGTGAAACCAGAAATGACTTAATTCTATAGGGTATTTTGCAATCAAGAGCATCCTTCTTCCTGCAAACTTACTGATATAGAAAACAGGATTTGATTGGTTAAAAATTATTGTGAATAAGAAGAGAGTAATGAAATAGAATCTTGATTAGTTACTTTTTTCAAATTATCATATAAATATATAAGAGAAAAGATTTGATTGGTAAAAAATTATTGTGAATAGGATAAGTAATGAAACAAAAATTTGATTGGTTACCTTTTCAGATCATTGGAAGCCTTAGCACTGATAACAGCAGCGGCTCGACAAAGGACTGAAGATTTTCCACACCCAGCACCACCCACTAAAATCAAAGGGACATCTCTTTCTTCTTTCACAACATACTCTTCAATCTATAAATGAGAAAAAAAAAATCAGTAACAGATAAGTAGATGGACTTTTATAGCCATTTCTACTTGCAATATTTTCAGCCCAAATAATTAAATATAAACAAAAAAATCTTCCAAACAGAAAAATGGTACAAATAAAAAATTTTTTTTCTGGAAATAATGATTGTACAGAAGATGAGCATAGCAGTTATTGTTGTGGAAAGTGAGACACTAGTGCACAGAGTTCAAATTTTAGTTGCTTTGCACAAATGTCCTTGGAAAGCTATGAATTCATTTGGCAAACAGTCTAAGAGAAAGACAAATCTGAATCCAAAATTGGTTGGGTATGGGGCTAGAAATTTCTGTCCATAAAAATGTAGTTGCTAGAGAAACCATTGTACTAACATGGAGCCTGTTGAGGCTGTAACCCTAACCCTTACGCATTAGAGTCTACAGAATTTAAACACATACAGAGTGCAATAGATAAATTGTCGTCTAAATTATGCAGCCAAAAATCAAAACATTGACAAATCATTTTAAGAAATATATTTAACCAAAATTACACAAAAATATCTTGAAATATGGAAAAGTAAATTTATTCAATAGAATCACTATTGGCTTTAACCATGGCCTCCTGATGACTTCGAAATCTCCTGCAACTCTTCTGGACAGTCTCCTTCTTTAAGTTGGTGAATGCTGCCATAATCCTTGCCTTCACTTCATCTTTGGTGCTACAAAGAGTTTTGTTGGTCTTTTGCTCAACTAAGCCCCACACAGAATAATCAAGGAGGTTGCAGTCTGGGAGTTAGGTGGCCAGATGTAAGGGGTGATGTGGTTGCAGAAATTGTCTGACAGCCAAGACTGTGTTCTGCTTGTGTGGCAAGGTGTAGAGTCCTGTTACCAGACATAGGTTCTTCCAGCAACCACCCTCTTGACCCGGGGCAGCATTATCTCTTCAAGGCACTTCATGTAGGCCTCCATGTTGAGTCTGAGGCCCTGTAGAAAGATGAATGGAGGTATAACATTGCCATTACTAGTGATTGCTTCAAACACTATGATATTGATTCGATATATCATCCAACTCCTTTCAAATCCTCTGTGCTGTCCTCAGATTGACATCAAACACCCTGAAATGTTTGTATTGGAGCTTCTGGCATAAATGCTAAGCAGTACAGCATGCTGTTTTCAAATTTTTGGCTGAGTGAATTGCATCATGGTGCTCTTTTTTCTCACAGATGATGCCCAAATAACCCTACTGTACTGTGCAGTTGACAAAATCAAAAACAAATAATGTGCATATGCGAAATTAAAAATATAAAATAGCAACAACTTAGTTGTACAGTAGACAAGATTATCTTTTTTTTTTTCATTTTTAAACTTGAATAAAACAAGATTTAAAGATTATTTGAAATTCTAAAATGAATCTTTGTTGTTCCAACATTCAATCTTTGTTGTTATTCAAATTACTATTCCTCATCATCAATATTTTAAATTATGTTTTTGCTGATACATTCTTCAACCGTCTAAATGTTCATTCAAATTCTGAATTTTTTTTGTTCATCTCTAACACATCATTCTAAATCATTGTAAATCCATGCATCAAAAATTCCTGCAGATCAAAAGTAATCCTGTCTGAACTTCTAGGATGAGGGATTATCATTATTTAATAAAATCCTCTTTTTTTGTTGATATTATCACAATATTTCAGCCATTGCATTCTCAATCTTCTTCATGTTTCTATCAATCTTCATAACCTACAGGGAATTTCAAAATTGAACTCTTTATTTAATCTATGGGGGTAAATTTTTTAAATTCTATTGTCCATGTCTAGGGATATCTCATCTTGATCTTTTTAGTACCACTCAGTTATTGCTAGTCCAGTTTCCACTGTTTCTGACTCTGTACTACCTGGCCTAAAGATTAAACTTGTAATTACTATACCATGATAAATTCATAAATTTTAATCCTTGCAGATATAATCCAATTACACATACTGAATAGAACACACCTGATTCTACCAGTACATGTGCAAAAAAACAGAAAATAGCTTTTTTTTTTTTTTTTTTTTTTTAATTATGAAAAGCTCAATTCATATTATTTACATGTGGACTATTGTTCTTATCTTTGATGTTGTTATCACAATGTTTCAGCCGTTGTGCTCTTTGGCCTTCATCAGGTATATTTCGATCCAGCTAACGAACAGGGAATTTTGGACAACCCTTTATTTAATCTATTGGGGCAGATTGTTTCTTATTCTACTGCCCATGTCAAGTTCTTTTTAGTACTGATTAATTATTGCTTGCCCTGTTTCTGGTGAGTTCATCTACACACTACCTAGCCCATGGATTGAACTCACAATTACTATGTCACCATAGGACAATTGCCTAGTGGATTAAAGTGTTGTTGGTTCATGAATTTGGTGGCAAAGAGTTTGGGGGGGGCTCATTGCCTTTCATTAGAGAGAAAATGAAGAAATCAGGGCCTACCTTATTTACAATAGCTTCTCGACCCATCACACGTTCACTCTTTTTGTACATGAAACTTTCATGCAATTGTCTGGTCATTCGGTCATAATAAGCTCCCTTGTGACACGGCTGGCCAAGGTAATCTTGCAGAACTCTCATCTTCACAAACTCTACAATCTGAAAAACACAAAAGATTATTTTTAGGCAGGGGAAAAAAAAGTTTATTTACAAATACAAAAAAAAAAAAAAATTACAGTGGGTGAGAGTTCATGTCATCAAATGAACAAATCTGACTTATGAGATAAATTTGAAATGATTATAAAAACGGTGGACAGGGTGTTAATTGAAATAAACTTTTATTCACAATATTCATAAAGAATGTTGAAATGGAAGTTGTTAGCAAAAGAGGTAATAATTGTATGCTTTTAAATTTACTGTTTAGATGATAAAGTGTGTATTTTTATAGTCCCACAAATGTCTAAGTGAATTAATAAATATAAAAAATTAACAATATGTCACCATATTTTAATTGATGCATATAATCACTGACCTTTTATCAGGTAGTTATTGTTGGATACCTCTTTTTCCTTCTCTTCAGGAGTGTTTCATGGTGACTTCTGGAGTCATATCTTGGTGTGGCAATATTTTGTTAAATTCTGATGAGTATGTCCTCATCAGAGCATTGGATTACTTGTTCTCAGTTCTGTTTTTTTAACAATCTGTAATATGGTTTACTTTCAAAATTGAATGTGCGTGTAGTGTAAAGTATAACGGCCCGGAATAAGAAATCAGAGAAACAAGTTCAAATTCCAGCCAGGTTCCTTACATTCACTTATGTACAAATACCCCCTTGTAGAAGGGTATGAATCCATCTCATCTCCCTCAGATATAGGGTGAATAGCAGGACAGACTGGGCTCTATAGCCTTGGTCAGAAACCAATCTAGAGCCTACTGCAGAAAATATTTTACCGAGTCAGTCATAAATTGAAAGAGACACAGTTGCCCAAGCATGCATCCTGTATAACACTTGCTTCACAATTTGCATTGTGGTATTCTAACAAATCTGTAGAGGGTTTTGCCTTGTCTATTGAGAGTGTAGACCATGCGTCATGGTGGTGATAATCTTTCTCTTGGTATGCTCAGTGTAGGTGACAACATTATAAATAACGTTCTAAAGGAAAACTTTCAGGACATCACAAGTCTCCTGATATACATTTTATACCACCTTTGCAGACAGGACATTGAATTACTGGACATCATCACAGAGTAACTTATGAAGAAGTTTTTTTTAATCATTTTTTTTTCTCCTTTGCCAGAGCCACACAAGTTAACTCAAAATTCAAACAAAGAGTCTATTTCCTTAAATACAGCTACTCTCTAATGTCAGACAAAAGAACTGATTTCTGACCTGAACTGTTTGCTGCTCAAAAGCACAACTATACAAGATTATTTTCTCTCAGAAAATTGTTTCCTCCTGTTTTCTGATTGGGTGATCAATAAAACCCTTAATCAATGAAACTATGCTTAACCACTCAACTCTGAACTTTCTATTGTACTTTGCTACCTGTTAAGATTGACAACCATAACATTTCAAAACCTCATTTTACTAATGATTCTTGTGAAATATAGTTTATTTTTACTTAAGAGAGTCTGTCCACTACTATGAACTTTTTTATCACTAATTTCAAGTAAAATCTAAATTAAATCAATTAAAAAAAACATTACTTTTGTCTTACAAATGAAAGAAAACATTTGCAGACAAATGACTTCATCACAATTAAATTAAACTTATTGTGAATTTGGATTCATATTTGTATAGTTGGATAAAAATGATCACTTGGCAAAATGGACTATGAAACTGGAACAATCAGTTTTGAGGAGATATTGCTGCTTCTGTTATGGTTACTGAATCTTTTGTTTTTCTTTCTGTAGGCAATGGATGGATCTGATTGGCCAAAGGTGATTGTAATTACAATGTAAAATTAACTTCAATACAGTTAACATTTTATGCAAAGTGATTAGGTATGAATTTGGATCAGGATAGGCAGTTGGAGTGAAAGTAAATGTGTTGCAAAGACAAAAGGCACCAAAGAAGGAAAACAAAGGATGTCAAAATTAAAGAGAAATTTCATTCTTAATTTCTTCTTAATAAGAATATTCCGTCAGATATTGAGCACTTTTACCTATAAATATAGCAGACTTTAAAACTATGTTTTCATCATATGTACAGGGTACAATGGGTAAATTGTTGCCATTTTATATTTTTAATTTTATGCATGAGCATTGTTTGTTTTTGATTTTATTGACTGCACAGTATAGTAGGGTCAGTTGGGCACCGTCTGTGAGAAAAAGAGCACCATAATGTAATTCACTCCACCAGAAATTTGGAAACGGCATACTGTACTGCTTGGCATTCATGCCTGAAGCTCCAATATGAACATTACAGGGTGTTTGGGGTGGGGGTCAATCTGAAGACAATGGAGAGGATTTGAGAAGAGATGGATGATATATTCAGTCAACATCATGGGGTTTAGAGTGATCACAGGGTCTCAGATTCAATATGGAGGCCTACATGAAGTGCCTTCAGGAGGTGGTGCTGCCCCGGGTCAAGAGGGTAGTTGCTGGAAGAACCTATGTCTGGTAACAGGACTCTACACTATGCCACACAAGTATGAGAACACAGTTATGGCTGTCAGACAATTTCTGCAACCACATCACCCCTTACATCTGGCCACCTAACTCCCAGACTGCAACCCCCTTGATTATTCTGTGTGGGGCTTAGAGATCAACAAAACTCTTTGTAGCACCAAAGATGAACTGAAGGCAAGGATAATGGCAGCATTCACCAACTTAAACAAGAAGACTGTCCAGAAGAGTTGCAAGGGATTCCGAATTTATCTGGAGCCCATGGTTGAAACCAATGGCGATTTTATTGAATAAATTTACTCCTCAGTATTTCAAGATATTTTTGTGTAATTTTACTAAATATATCTGTCATTTTTTGTATAATTTTGACAACAATTTATTCATTACACTTTATGTATATACACACACACATACACGTGTGTGTGTATGTATGTATGCATGTGTAAATATAAATAAATAAACAATCACACTAGTTTAAGATTATTTGCCACAACATATAGAATGGAAATTTAAATATAAATGACTAATCTGGTGTGAAATTTTACTAATGAACCAAGATATTTAATATTTAAACACTTTTTTTTCTAAATTTGATTTCAGTTTGGCTTTTTTCTTTTTTCTGCTAATCATATTTATTACTTACCAATTCTTTCAAACTATCATTGAAATGCAACTTCGGTCTTTTTCTCTTTCCTGTCAATCCTTTATATACAGGTTTGTACTTGATTATTCTGTCAGGCTGAAAGAGCAATCAGAGATTAAGTACAAGTATTCTGGCACAAGAAACAGAGACATCAATATTGATACAGATCAAGACATCGCTGGGACTACAAAGACCTATGGCCTGTTGGAGTAAATAAAGGGACACCCTGCATAATTCATCCCACCAGCTAAACAATGTAAAGAAGGATTCCACCAGATGATACTTGTTTGGTGAGGGAGATGATTGACAAAGATATCCACACCTAATTCAAGCATCCATCACCAAATGGTAAAACTGGGAATCTTGATTACCGGCTAATGTTAAATTAGGCATGCAATGATCAGAATAACGAATTACATCAAGTTTATTTCATCCTGTCATATAAGGAAACAGCTAATATTACCACTGAGATATTTTGAGTACAGGTGATTAGTAAGATATAGGGCAATCAGGACTTGAAGAATAAAAAAAAAATGCTTCAATTATTGCCTACTTTGATAAGAACTATTACTCTTGCCCTATAATAATTGTTACATTTAGTGGATGCAATGTATTATATAAATGGTATAACTGTTATGGAGTAGATGTATTTTATTATTATTACCCTTGTCCCTAATAATTACTACAATTAATGTGTATGAAATCCGTCTCAAAATAATGGTCACATTTGTAAATAAAAACAAAATAAAAGATAAAATTAATGATAATGAAATTTGTTAATTAAATACTTGGAAGCAGTAATTTTGAGAAGTGTTTAAATAATTTAATATTTAAAATAGCATCTGGATTTTATTCAATTATATTCAATAACCAATTTTCAAGTCAAAGTTTTTCTTTATTCCTCTGCCTGATTTTATAGAAATTATTTCTGTTTGACCAAATGATATCCTCTATAAATATTTGTAATGTTAAGAAAATAGAATTTATTGTTATTGTTGGCAGCTTCTTCCAAGTGTTTTTAATAGCTTTAATCACTTCATTTACATTTTGTATCAACATCCAATGCAATAAAGATTGAACAAATTTCAAAGCATTTCAAATATCATTTGTCATTTTGGGTTTTAGTTTTTATGTCCCTTTAAATTCCCATCTATGCTTGATGATTATCTTTGAAAATATATAAACACAATAGATGTAGTTTTTAAAATTTCTATTTTCATGTACCTATGAAGAGCTGACATTAAAACATTTCATGTTATTTTTTTTGTTTAAATGACTGGTCAGGTTTAACATCATATTGTCGCTAGGATATACAAACATAATCTTACTTATTATAAAACGCAGATTGTGTGTGTGTGTGTGTGTGTCTGTACGTTTATATATTGGATTGGATTTCCTACATTTTTCAACCAATTTCAACAAAACTTCACAGGACTACATAAAATTACCTTGCGGTGGTTCTAACAGCACCAAAAATTGGAAAAACACAATTGTTTTTGCACAAAATCAATTTGAAAACACGATTAAGAGGCATTACGAGAATGAAAGGGGGACAACTCATATCGAGTTATACTTATTATAAAAACCCAGGTTGTTTGTTTGTGTGTGTGTGTGTGTGTGCGTGCGTGCGTTCATTTATATATGGGATCGGATTTCCTACATTTTTCAACAAAACTTCACTTTTTTTTTTTTTTTTTTTGGCAGGTAGTGTTTCTTATTGTCTTGCACACTTTTTTCTTTATTTTTAAATACAGAATGCTTTAAAAATTCCATTTCCAAGACAATTGTTTATAATAAAATTCTATCCAATCGGTAGATCCATAATGATTGAAAACAATGTTTTTGTTTGAGTTTGGGTTTGACCAATTCGTAAAAAAAAAAAAAAAATAATTAAGACATGCGTGTCCATCAACCTTAAACAATAATCTTTGTCAATTTTATTTTTCAGTCTTTATGATGGTCAATACTTGATCTATCTCTTACTGTTACATCTCCGGGCAATGCCGGGCTCTACTGCTAGTCTTTAATAAGTGTTGGCAACAATAAAAAGAAAAATATACAAATTTAACAACTATTAATGTGAGGGTGATGGTAATTTTTAAAATGTATTTAATAAAAACATCTGTTAATGTGGATAGAAAACTTAATATAGTTTCATTATCTGTGATTTTTTAAGGTGTGATATGTAAATTGTCTTTTACTGGTAGGCTTGAAGGATTAAAAAATTTTTTTTTTCAAAATTTGGTATCAAAATCCCTTTTCCCAACCAAATTTAAAAAGCATTGTAAAGAGTTTAGTATATCTTCTATAACTTAATATAGAACATATACAGAGTATGGGCATAAGAATCAACACCAAGTACCTTGACTTCATGTAAGTCTAGTATTCGATTGGCAGTTAGGTCTCATCATTTTATTGTTGAAATTGTTAGATTTAACCATAAGTTCTATTCTAATATTTACTTCTCTTGCACTTCTCACCTGTAGGACGTTGTTTTGGCTTCTTGCTTTCCTATCAATGACTAACTTCAAAAAATTATGCAATATCAATCATCGTCATTTATTTGAATCCTATTCTTTTATTGTCCTTTCTCCTCACTAACATTATTTTCTCAGTTTCCTTCACTCTGAGTAATCCCTTGCATCTTAGTGGCCTTATTTCCTCACTTGGGGGTGAAATAATTTAAAAAAAAAAATGGTTACTGTCAGTTTCAAGCTTCATTGTAAGCATCATACCATGTAACACATTAAAGCAGGAAAATGATAGTCACCATGTACTGCTGATTCCTATGTTCACACAGTCTATAACTATAAATGTTATATTTCTGACACTGGGAATTATTTTCCTATAGCAAATTTTAAAACAATATATTCATAACATACAGACACACACATATATTTATTGGGTTATTAAGACATTCATTCTTTGATAATGTATAAGATAAAGAGTTAAATTAGGAAGAAATTTGCGTAATTATTACTTACAGGGAATCTTTGATGTATCTTGTTACCAGATTCTGAAGCAAGTTGATCTGATTTTGACATTTTCTGTGGAAATGCACTCTTCTCTTCGTGTGGTAACGAGTCTAAAAAATCATCACAGCGATACAAGAACAAAGCTAAAAAGAGAGAAAAAAAATAATAAGAAGTTTGGTCTAAAGAACTTTGATAAATTAGCATCAAAGAAGAAATTTGCGATAAACATCATCATCTTATTCCCAAAGAAGTAATTTGGAATCCAAGAATCCAATTGACAAGAATTGAATTACAGAAAATGGAACTTGAAACGTTTTGGCATATTGCTTCTTAGGAACAGACAGACAAGTATGAAATGTGAAGTATGAATGTCCACTTTCAGAAACAAAGAATTGTCTGCTTTTCGTACGAGATTACTGATCAATAATACTCACTACATTCAATGTCAAAAGGCCTTACGTGAGAAAAAGTGAGAAATGGAATCTGGTTAATTTCAGTATTTATGGATCTTTGAAATTACTTCCAAATGCTTTTACCAAAATATAATCATCCTTCAGTCAGAAAATGAGCTTAATGGCTCCATGTCATTTCATTAAAAAATCAACCATACAAATTTGAAGTTAAAAGAAATGTTTTTGATTCATTTTTATAAAATGACTCAAAAAGCTTTTACACATATTTTGGGGACAATTTTTCCAAATTAAAAAAAAAAAAATCAACTGTTACTGTTTTTGTATTTATTAATATTAAACCTAATGTAAAAATCTTGGGAATGAGTGCTTTGACCACAAAATAATTTATATGTATATAAGTAAATAATTAATACTCACAGTTAAGGTTATCTTCCCGATATGCACCATACATAACCTCTAAATCTAGAGAGGTCAATCCATAGGTTTTCAGATAACTCTCAATGAACCGATCATGGTAGTCACCCCAGGTAGGTACCCATCCAAGAGATTCACTGGTTAAAAAGAAAACAATGCAAACCAAACACTGACTTTTATATAATGATCATATATCAAATATATATTTTCAAAACTCTCAGGCACTTTGGCATGGGTTAACTGTTAGTGAGACTAGTGTGGTTGACTATTTTTACTGAGTAGTGAGTTCAATTATCACTGAGTGTCCCATACAAAATTTAACATTAAAAAACCCAACAATGGCTGACATGTCACCCAATCAACCATCTATCTATTGTGTATTGCAACATGGAGTAAAGGATAATGAGGCAAGTGTGATTAATGAGAAAGTTCCAGTACTTTTAGTTATGCATTGTTTGTTTTCCATTGGTCTTCATAGATCTCATGTGTTTTGTCTTGAGGTTTTACAGAGTGAAAGAGTGTGTGTGTGTGTGTGTGTGTGTATTAGAATTCTAGAGGTCATTTTTGTATCTGGTAATGAGAGGAAGATGGGAAAGGGGTGTATCATATTTCTAGTTGGTCTTGCAGGAGTTGGTAGTGTCAGTAGATGTGGTGATTGTTGGTTAGATTGTACACTATCAGACAAACATGAAAATGCCCATTATAATTCAGACGTGTGCGTGCATGCATACACACACAAACATAGAAAGGCAAAAACACATAAGATCTACCTGACCAATGAAAAAAAAAAACAACACAAACTCATGGCACCAGAACTTTCTCTTCCATAATTTGTTTCCAAAAATTTCTGGTGAAACTTAAATGAAAACAAAACATGTTTAATTTATAAATATTTCCTATTTGTTCCTTATTTTATCATTCTGCTGCATTTTAATCCTTATTTGATGCCAACTCTCACTATCACTCACACACACACATATATATATATATATATATATATATATGAGAGAGAGAGAGATATCAAATATAGATCAGAATCCAACAGGATGATAAAATAAAGAAAAAATAAGAAATGTTTATCAATCTAACATGTTTGACTTTTATTAAAGTTTCATCAGAGAATGAGACAGAGTAAAAGAAAGAAATTTTGGTATTTTTACTTTTGTGTTGTTTGATTTTCATTAATTAATCATGTTTCACGTGCATTCAACTATATATATATATATATATATATATATATATATATATATATATATATATATATATATTTAAAGATATTTTTGTAGGTACAAAATTTAATGATTGAAATAAAAGTATAAAACTTAATATTATGAGACATATTAAAAACAGGCAAAGCAACTGGTTTTGCTCCCGCTCTTCAGGCTTCAATGGGAGATTTAAAATTAACACAGAAAAATGTACAATAAAAGGAAGTTGTGGAGAAAAAAAAAAAATGTCTCGTAATATTAAGTTTTATACTTTTATTTTGATCATATATATATATATATATATATATATATAATGTCATGTCATCCACAGACAGACTGTTTTGCTGTATCACAGCTCTTCAATATGGCTAGATGTCTGATTGTTTCAAGCTGGGACTGAAACTTGACTGATTTAGCATCAGTCAGAGATCCTACCCCTAGGCTCTCGTCACATGGCAGATAGAAAGAGTAATTTTAACATTTTCTATATGAAATACGTCAGTGGCCTGGAGAGATCAATTCAGTTGAAGAGCAATGCATTAATATCAGTAGGATCCACTGTTTTTAAAACTACCCTTTCCTTAAGAGAGTGCAACTGGATATGTTTTTATTGATACAAATCTGATTAAAGACCAATGAACATTTTTTAAGTATATTTTATTAACTTTCTCTTCCTTTCTGACTACATATACACACTAAATGTGTATTTAGGTAGCAATCTGTCACTAATATATGTTTGATTAAAGAGGACAAATAAGATTTTTTTTTTTGTTTTAGCTGATTTGCTTATGTCTAAGAGAACATATATGGTGTTGAATGATCTTGGTCCAACTCAACTTCCCCAAACAGAATTTTTGGGGAATCTCCTCTTAATCAGGCCAAGAACTTTCATTCTTATTTGGTACCAATTAATACAAATACTGTTCAAATTTTTGGTACTGAGCACTTTCCATCATACTTCTACTCCTTATCAAGATTTGGAGGCTGTGCATATAATATCATGCATAATTAGTAATGCTGATTTTAGAAGTATCTGAATATATAAAAGCTGGACATGCTCACAAACCTACCCTTTTGGATATTGATAATGACAAAAAAATTAAAAACATTTACATTTAATATTTATATTCACTGCCTAACATTATCATCATATATTACAAAAACAAAAGCACAAAACTTAACCTCTCATATATAACATACCATTTCATGGATTTTGTAAATTACAGTCTTGCAACTGAGTGTTTGGCCCTGGGGTCAACTTTATATCTGGACTCTTTAAAGGACACAATGCAAAGTATATTCTCACATTACCTAGGGTGAAATACATGCTACAGTTGGACCTAAACATATGCTCCCTTGTATGTAAACAAGAAAAAAAGTCAGTCATATGATAGGATTCTAGGGTGCTGAAAGGATATTGGTCTGATTAAGTAGCTTTTCAAAAAACCTGATATTTAGTCAGATTTGAGGAAATAAGATGGGGTGAGAACTTTTCAGCACCTCTCATATATGTATATATATGCATGTGTATGTGTGGATGCAAAAGTTGATTTCTGAGGATAGAATTTAGAAAATACAGGAATTTAAGTGTAATATGCCTATTTATTCAGAATATAAGCAGGAAAAAAAACAATGCTTACATAATTAATATCTAAGTGATTTTCATTAGCATTCTGATCAATAAAAAAAAAACTCACCTTGTAAAATTAAGGAATAGAGGCATGACATTATTGTAATAGCAATCTTCAATCTTGGATTGAACCCCTTGTAATTCAGATGGAGTACGCTTATCAGGGTGTTTGCTGCCCTGCAAATCAAAATGGGAGAAAGAATTTATTAATTACAAATTATTTTTTAAACTATTAAAAAATATATGAATATAACAAAAGAACCATGAATAAAAAGAGTAACTGAGACAGAAAAATTTAAAAAATTTATACAACATTGAAAGTAGAAGAAAGATTTTTAGTTGTCACAAACTAATACAAGCATTAATGACAGAATTGTTTCATTATATTGGATTATTGTATTGGCTAATAGATCATGTTTGTTGGTTTTATAACATTTTAATCCTAATGTGAAAATTTCCATTTTAATCTATATGCATTTACTTGGTTTGGGAATAGGTAAATATTGGTTGTTTATATTTGAGATTTTCAGTATTTCTTTGTTAGATGGCCGTTTTGGTGTGGAGGATTTTACCCTTCTGAAGACATTCATTGATAATGATTTTACTATACGAATGTAAAAAAAAAATCAGAAAAGAATTATTGTTGGTGAAGGATTAATACAAGCATTGCTGCAAAAGAAATCTATATCATAAAAGTATATTTAAACTGAAGTAGAATTTCATAACTTAAGTCTATATAAGAAATGAATAAGTTCTAACAAAAACATCCATAAAATATTCATTTTGTCTTTAGAAATGGATAAATATCTGTTCACATAAATAACAAGTTTAACTGCAACTATGGCAAAAGGTTGCAGTTAAACTGTTGGTTCTTGTGTAAAAGCAATTGAAATCATTAATAAAAAAAGTTGCTACTTTATTGTCATATAAGCAAATCTTAAATTTGTAAGTAAATACTAATAGCCCTTTCCCTCCTACATTATTAAATGAAGAATATCAATACAAAATATTGGTAAGAGAGTGAGAAAGCTACAAGCCTTATGTACTAGCAAATTGTGAACTTGTCAGATCTATGGAAATTACATGAATTTCTGGAATAGAATTATATTACTAATTCATGCATTTTACTGAACCAGATCCAAAGAGTAATTATAATTCAGAGTATTTGATTATCCTGTTAAGAATTTAAGAGCATTATTCTTAATTTTCAAAATTTTCATGAAAGATTATTTATGAAATAATATTGCTTCTGTTTTTGACTTGATATTAATCAAAGTTTGACTTACTCTTTTACATTTTGCAATGCTCTAGCTCTTAAATAACAATAAGCAATAATATAAAGTTGTCTGTGATTAAATACTGGTTGTGGCAAGTGCAGTTTTTCTCTCTTATCCCAGTTTTCAGTTCAGTTGATAAAGTGTAGAAATATACAATTCATAAGTCTTACATAATAATGGTCCCAAATGCAAGTGTAGTGATGCCAGTAAGACAGATATACCATATATCTATCATACAATTTTTATTACATTATCTTGTTCTAATTGTTCAATTTTATTATTAGTTATTGTTATTATTCCTAATTTATAAATTAAACTTTATCATAAGTAGGTATTGGGAAAAACACCATCAGGTTTGGTACTGTCTATGATTGTATTGACATTATTATTTTTGGGTGGGTTAGTGGAGTAGTTTTCTCTTGCCTCCTCCACAGTGATTTTGTTGTGACACCACCTCTAGTTAGCTGGCTGTTCTGATTCTTTTGAGTTCATCCCAACCAAGCTTTTTTATTTATTTTTTTGAACATATCGCTAAGAGCTTGAGGACAGAGGTACTGTATATTGAAAGCTACACAAAAATTTCACATTTGATTCATTATGCAGCACTGACAGTTTAACAATATTATGAATAGAACCTTAGGTAATAAAATGCAACTGTAGAGTTAATGTAATTTTGGAGGACTATGGGAAATAATCATCATCATTTATGTGCCATGGATATTCAGGATATGGGTAATCATGGCTCTTCACAATTTCCTGACCCTTTCAGTTCTAAGTAACATCTAACTCTTTACCATCCTTCCTCTGTTCCTGTTCTGCTATCCATCCAACACAAACTTATTAGGTAAGTTGCTCATTGTTTCCTCCTATCCCTAACTTCCTTCAATATAGTCTGCAAGTATTAAGTTTCCAAAGCCATTCTTCCTCATTATGAGTCCCAAAAACTTGAAATGTCTTTTTTGATTTTAAGCATGAGTTGTCTTTCTAGTCCTTTTTCTTTAGAACTTTCTCATGACCCCCCATCCAATAAAAAACTTACTTACTATAGAAATCACAGCAGCCACACCTAGCATGGTAAGGTTGTGGTCCTATATTCCACAGAAGCATGACAACTTCTTTATGTGTGGTGTCCTCTCAGGATGTGTGCAATCATGGCTCTTCACAATTTCCTATCCTTCGTTGTCCTTAATAAATTTTGTCTTTTTATTATTTGTTCCACCATCCATTTACTTAAGCTCATCAAATATGTTATATGCTGTTTTCTTCCTCTGTCCCTCTTGTCTTCAATCTGCTTTGTATCAGATTTTCCAAGCCTTCCTTCCTCATTATATGCCCCATAAATTTCAACTGTTTCTTCCTGATGTTAAGTATAAGTTTCTTTTTTGTTTCCATTTTCTCTAAAACCTTGTCTTTGTTCACATGTCTGGTCCATGGTATCCTCAGCATCTTTCTATTGCCTAAAGACTCTTCCTCATCTTTGAGGATATTGCCCAGCATTCACTGCCATATAAGAGGACAGATATCATGTAACAGTTCAGTACTCTTTTCTTTGTTTCTAAAGAAGTTTTTCTGTCTCTTAATACTATGCTTAGTTTTTGGAATGAATCTTTGGCTATCCCAATGCATCTTTGAATTTCTGTGTTGCACTTTCAGTCTTTTGTTAGAACACTTCCCAGATATTTAAATTTTTGTACTTGTTTGATTTTGGTAAATTTTGCATGCTACTTTATTATACTTCTTTATGTGCTGTGTCCCCTCAGGATGCTATTCACTGCTTTCCTTTGTCCCTCTTACCCATTACTTGTCCTGTGAGTATCAGATTTTCATCACAAACCCTCCTTCCTCATTATGTGCCTCAGAAATCTCAATTGTCTCTTCTTTATGTTAAGCATTAGTTCCTTTTTTATTTCCATTTTCTCCAAAACTTTGTTTTTTTCACACATGTCCAGAGCCCATAAAACCCCACTTGCTATGGAAAAGACAGCAGTATAGTGTGTGTGTGTGTGGGGGGGGTGGCTCTATTACTCTACAGAGGAAGTCTATAGTATTTATATACATATAGATAAACAAGTTTTTAATTAATAAAGCCTTGAAAGTAATTTAATTGCACCTGAATATCACATGTGTGAGAAATTAGATTGAGTTAAGCAGAAGGATTGAAAAGAAGTAGATTTTTTTTTTTTTTTTTTTAAAAAAGTAGTTCTTACATAAAGCAATCACTTGTAAAATACGAGAGACTTGATTGGTATTTGATGCAAAACATCTGTATATGAGTAAAACTCTTGGGACAAGCTATTTGAAGATAACAAAAAATACAGAAGAGATAAGAGAGAAAATTATCCAGTTGTAAAGAGTGAATTTGAAGGAAGAAATTAATTGAATGGATAATGACTTCATTAAAAAAAGGCAACAGGTGAATTTTTAAGTAGGAAAGAAATGGAGAACCTCTCAAGTTTCTGAAAGGAGGGGTTATTACTGCCTAAACATTTTAGTATTTTTTTTAATTTTTAGCATTTAATGTATGATGTTGACCCCATCTCGAAGGGTGCCCCAAAACAGTTTTAAAAGTTTCAGTTTAAATTTTTAAATCTTTCATGATTTTAGGACTCTCTTTAGTTTCCTCAGGAAAAGGTAATTATTAATTATAATTTATAGTAAATTTGCCATATTAATGTTCTTTTTTACCTTCTTAACATAATTAGAGAAACATTCCATTAACAAAGAAAGATGCTTGTGCATCTAATTAACTTCCCAAAAAGTAATATTAAAAAAAGGAAAAAAGTGAAAGTAACTCTGAAGAACATGTTAGTTTAATTAGGTAATTAACATTTAATTAGAAAATATGAAATTGTAATAGGAACATCAAGGATCATATCACAAATTATCTATTTCTTGGTCATTATATATTTCTAAAGAGGATGATTGTAACCAGATAAAATATAGGTAATCAATATTCATAAAAAAGTGATTGAATAACTTTTTAATATTTTGATGATCATTCTAATCATCATAAGACAATGATAAATAGAAGTGATTTTCTCTGTTTATTGGATTACATTAGAAAAAATATTCCTATTATTCAATTAATTATTTAAATAAGTATCCTCTTTTTTTCTCTCTTTTAATCATGGTCACATTCATCAAAATAGTTTATGGAATAGCAATAATAATAGTTTCAGAAATTTAGACAACACTCCAGATAGCAGGTGAGAGAATCAGCTGAAATTTTCAATACAACAAAGATAAGGATACTAGGCCAAATAATTCATTTTAGAAATTCAAAAACCAAATAAAAGCCACAACGAGGAAGCATATATAATTATGCATCATGTTAAAGCAAAATGTAAAGAATAAGTAATCTTTGATGAAACATAAAAAGATTGTCTGGCCAGCAAACTTGAACTCAGATCAGGCTGTGGAAAGGGGCAGGGAATGAGTTGGGTTGGGGAGAAAGTTTTTAATGAATTGCCTGCCACTTAGTCTAGTCTCTTATTTAAACAGGAGCACTTAAGATTTATGAATGAACTTAACTTTGTCTACTTATAGAAAGAAATTTAAAATAAAATGAGGAAATGGAAAGAATCAAAACAAAGCAATAAAAGAATTAATGCAACACAATCAAGAAAAGGAAAGCAAAAAAAAAAAAGAAAAGAAGAAGAGGTCAAATATTCAATATGTGACACAAAGTTAATGCTCACTAATGATTTAAACATTTTTTTAAATTTTAAACATTTCATTCAATCTTTACAGATTCAAATGTAGAAGTGGCAAGTTTATTTACTGAAAATACTAGCATATTTTATATTTTTCTATCTTTCCACACTATATTTATTTTTCTTTCACCATTATATTTTATATGATTTACTTTTTATATGAAGTATTTTCACTCTTATTTGATGA